CAACTTACTTAAAAATCGTTCTTGTACTTGCAAAACTCAGGATCTGCCCTCTCACTATACCAATTCCTCTGTCATCTGATGCATTGAGCTTAATACCACAAAGAAAACCTGTTTAACATTTCCATAACTATCACATACAATTTGTCTATCAAAAATACTATTATAATACACATGTATATTAAGTACAAATTATTATTTCTTCACGTGGGAAAATATGTTGACAATTTGCACATATTGCAAGGCATTATGAACCCCTCCCCCCCCTCTCCACACACACACACACACACACACAGATACAAACACACATGAGCACTCACATTCAGATGTGTGAAGGGCATTTATCATACCTCCAAAACCATGGAGTTAAATTCTTTTGGAGAGTATAACTGCTTTGCCACTGCAAGAATAGTACTTGTTTTCCCAGTCCCAGGTGGACCATAGAACAACAGATGTGGCAGTCTGTCTTCCACAACAAACTTGTTAACTGAAACAAGAATTGGCCATCTAAAATTAAGTTCTTGCACAGGATGACTTGATTGCTCCATTTTAAAATGTTCAAAAAAATTAATGTTTTTGTATTAGGGCTCATCATTTCAAAAAGCAGAAAAATGGACAATGCGAGAAAACCCACATTTTTACAAGTTCTCGATTTTTTTTCTACAGAGTAGAAAAAGCCACTTAATCCGGAGTTACTATAAACAATTAACTGATGATGCCAGATTATTCAATAAGCTTGATAAATCCTAAACTTAGTTTCATCTAGTCAAGTAAAATACTCACTGGTAGAAATTATATCCTTATGTGAAATCAGATCATCTAGCTGCTTTGGTCTGTATTTTTCAACCCTGTAATTAAACAGTCAAAATGCACCAACATACATATGTTATAATTTATCAATACTTATATACATGTATGTTGCATGTAGATACATTTGATATATCTACATACAAGTAACAAGTAATAAATTCAAATTTTATGTATTATAAAAGAGGGCAAACAAATGTATTTAACATGCATTACGGTATGCTAAGTAAATCCATTATCATAATCATCTTGATTTCATGACATAAGCATTAATTATTTCAAAACAAACATCACTCAGACTAGTTCGTATCGTTATAATGGCTATATGCTTAATCTAAACAGCAAAATAGCAATCGTTCTGCATTCTTAAAACAATTTGGCAATACAATCGCTGCTTAATATTTGACATGTTGGAACTTCCAGTCAGGTTGAACCTAGAGTAGAGCCTAGGCCAAATACCAGTAGTTCAAACAGTAAAGTGGCTGGAGCAGCTGAAGTACATGCAGTTACAATAGTCGCAGAACGAGAAGAGCAGCGGCAATAAGTTAAACTGCTTTCTGTTTGGTGCTGTTAACTAACAAGAGCCTTTTGCTCCACTTTCACGTTCTTATTCACGTGTTCCTTGCTTCTTACCATGGAAGATTCGCACTTATTCGGTCTCTCCCAGCCATCCTCGTAAATTTCGCGGGAACGATAACGTAGGAAACATGGAATGTTATTAACAAAATTGTTTTGATATAATTGTAAATGTAGTTAAAAGGATATTACACGTGTTTTAGCTACAGAAACTGTAAAGAATTATTATGAGAAAGTCATGATCATTCAAACATGAAAGCAAATAACAATTTAATCATACTAAATTTCCATTTTTAGATTTAACCAAGGGGATTTTTTTTAGTCTCGCTTTTTCGCGCATATTGTACGAGAAGAAAAACACAATATGGCCGATGTGTTGATTCACTCCCAAGGAAAATATGACTAATGTTTACCAAAATAGACGGCGTAAATCTGAGTTTGCAAACAGCAAAATACGATGCATGGTATGATGTATGTGGAAGATACACTTTGATGCTGAAAAGATTACGTGATGTCTTCAGTCAGTGAAGAAGACCCTATCAAAAGGGCAGAGAGGACTTGTTCTATTGCACAGAGTATGATCGACTACACGGCGAAACATTTGCGTGGTCTTAGAACACAATGTGCAACTACAGAGGAAATCACGCAGCAAGAAATACGTGGTGCAGAGGTTGGTAGACAAAATTTTGGCCAAACGATACTTGATTTGACAATCCCCTCCGCTTCTGTGCATCAAGTTTTTTAACATCTCTATTCAATTTTGTTTTTATATTTTTTCTGTGTTTTCTTTACATAATTTCTTTGTTATGTAATGCTATTAAGGGACCTTATTGAATAAGATTAAGGTATACATTGAGATTAATAGAGTTTATAATTCTTGGATTATCACCAAAAAGTTCACATGGAGATCTTACTTTTGTCAAATTACCCAAGTGTCCAATCTGCCCAAAATTATGTGATTTTAACAGAAATGTTACTTCGTCATGTTGTAAGATTGGTACATTTGCACTTGGATGAAGGCACTGAAATACAAGGAAGAGTTGCACTTTTCATTTGAGTCATAAGGAAGCAGCATTAGCAGGACGTTTTCAACAATGATGTGATACCAGGCAAGATTACATCAAAGAAATGCAAAAAACTACTTCTGTGTTCAAGTAGGCACCCATCTTGAATAGTCATAAAATGCTTTTTATTATTTTATGAATTATTTTAAAAATCACTTAACCTTTTTAATGACAATACAGGTCTGTCATTTAAGATTTGAAAAATGCTGCAAGGTTTCACACATTGAAGCTATTCAGAGTTGATTTTTCCCTACCTTTATTGATAACACTTTCGGTGTCTGTCTATACTACATCTGACACTAGGCAACTGAAAATTCAAGCATCCCTGTGCTGGTAAGATGAAAATAGCTCTTCGTTATGAGGAGGGCTAGATTTTTTTTAATTTCTGGAATTGCAGTTAAGAATTCATTGAAGATTTGCTTCTGAATTTTGTAATAAGCTCAGTGATATTGTATAACTAACTTTCTTCAAATAATATGGAATCAGTTTTCATCGCTCCTTATTTCTGAATGTGATTGATCACCAAAACTCGAGTGTTCTAAAGGCAAGTTAATGAAATTGAAGCCTTGACATTCACCTGAAATTTGAAAATAAACTTTTATAATTTTGATACATTTCAAACCACAGAAACAGCTTAAAATTTAGGTAATAGAAACCATTTTTCTGTAGTAAAACTAAATTAGCTGTGTCTCTTGAATGTATATCAAAGTAAGATAATTTTTACATGTAATGCAGTTTAGACGATCTTAGTTTAGGAAAAACTTACCTACATAAAATGAGAGTTCTACACTTGCAAACAGGATATATATTTTTTAATTTCCTTGAAAACTATCTCATTTATTTGGCTAAATTGCAGCAGAATACCCTGTATAGATATATGCAAGATCTAAAATTAGGCGTCAGTGTAAACACCAATCTATTAATAGCATTTTCTTTGACTTTTTGACTCAAAGATAAATTAATAGACACATGAGACTTCCTGAAATATTACAGATCTACAGCAAAACATGTTGGGTGTGGAGAAATATAGGGTTTTGACAACAGTCACTTTTCAGAGTATTTTTGTGGAGAGGCCTGTAATTTATTGTGATGCATATCATGCAAGTGATACATGTCTGTGAGTGCCTGGATTTACGCTGTTAGTTACCTGGCATATATTTTTATTGTGTTTATCACTTGTGGTCCTACATATTGTGCACCATTTCCATAGGGTATTTATTTATATATTGTCCCAGGATGTTTAAAAATATGTTTTCAGTAATTAGTTATCAACTCATCCAATTTTTTGTATGTTGGCATTATTATTGATAACTAGTAACTAATTTGTGGTGCACAATGACTTAAAAAGCTAGCAGTTAGGAATTTACAGCTGGGAGCAAGAAGAGGTCGCAGTAAGCCACTATGCCCTTCTTCAATTTTCATCAGTAGAACTTATTAAAAAAAGAAATAAAAAAGTTTGCTCACATTTTAATATGTAGAATTAGGACTTTATTTTTGGAGCAACACATGAACAGATGTCCTTAGTTTGTTTCTTACGATTCGTTCCCTGAGAAAGTGTCATTCTGCACAGATCAATCCAACTCTGCAAGGTCTCTCGCTGAATGCAATCAGGTGAATGACACATCTGAAGCAATTAGGGGTGATTAACTTTCATGTGCACTTAACTTTGAAAATTTTTTCACCTCGTTTTAAATGCGACCAAAATCACACAAAAGTTTATCTCCCCATAGTTGCTTGAGGGGGCATGTCATTCAGTTAATCTGGTTGTACTTAACAAAGAGTCCCCACAGAATGGAACGATCTATGTTGAGCGATAGTTTCATTGGAGATGCATCAAAATTTTGTCACACGCTCTGTTTTCTTCTGCTTGAGAAATATAAGCACGTTTTTTAAGGGGGGAGGGGTCATCAGTATTTCTTTTTTTGGCTGGATAACTATTTTAATAATCATTAATATATTATGGCAGGGCAAATATACTAAACTCAGCAGTTTTCTAGATTTTTTTTAAACTGCACAAACTTTCATGCATTTCACATCATGCAAAAAAGTCATTCTTGGACAGGTGACACTTATTTCTTAACTGAATAAGGTGTAACATGCCCTTGGATTATTGAAAAAAAAAGTTTATGTGAAGGATGAGCCTGGATGATGATAATCTCTTATAATGTTCCTTAAGAGGGACAGTATCTTTTTGGTCAGTTGTGTTGGTGTGTAATATTTTTGGGTAAATGTTTTAATTGCTTTCTTATACATGTTTGTTTCTTATTTGGAAAGACCTAGTGATGCTTTCAGATAGCAGTGAATGGATAGTCCATTTGCTTCCTAAGTATTTCAAAGCTCTGTACTTTGTACATCAGTTGAAAACATTGGAATGATATGGTATACAGTCATTCTTCTCTGTAGGCCCCACACATACATTCAGCCCCTAGATATAAAGGTAATCAGGTAAATATTTTGGAAGAATTCCAAATTGAGTAGCCTACTGCTGTTTTGTACTGCATGTCTAGAAGTGGAACAATGCACTTAGGGCTAAATCTGGGTTGTTGATTTCACAACAACTGAAGTCATAACATGGAGCTCTTTGCTGTTTTGTATTGCAACTGAATTACTATGTACATGTCTGAAAATATAAAACTATGTTAATAGTTTAAGTAATTATTATTACATGTGATTTATCATGCATAAAAGGACAATAAGGACCATCACAGAAAAAATGGATTGCTTACGGATGAAGCAATTATACTTTTGTCATGAGTGAATTGGAATTAAAACATCTATTTCACTGTCTCATGATTCGTTATCAACTAAATAAATTGAAAAATTAAGAAGCATGAAGTTAGGTTGACCTATCTACACTGGAAACTTGCCCTCATAGCGTAGCAAGTATAGAGCGGATTCTCAACGAATTGAGCCAGGCTTTACAAAGCCGGTGACCTAAAAATGGCGGAAGTACATGAAAGAAAAACCGCCTAAACTTTTAATAGTCTCTCCGCCTCCCCACACGTCGTCCCTGCGGGGTACAGTAATTAAATCTCGGCTCCAACCTCCAACTACGTCTACTGGGGCTGGGTAGTTCTGTGAATATCTCTGGTGATATTATCTCCGTAGATAGTCGATTCGTTGCTGCTCTACGGGCCAATTCATTCCTTTTTCGTCTCTGTTTTGACAGATAATAAAACAGAAGAGCTTTTTTCCTTCGAACGCCTTCAGCCGCCATGCTTTCTTCACCACGAGTTTAACTGATGAGCATGCCCACTTAATATTTCTCAGGTAGCTTCCGCATGGCGAACGGAGCCGAGATTTAATTACTGTATCCCGCAGGGACGACGTGTGGGGAGGCGGAGAGACTATTAAAAGATTAGGCGGTTTTCTTTCATGTACGTCTGCCATTTTTAGGTCACCGGCTTTGTAAAGCCTGGCTCAATTCGTTGAGAATCCGCTTATAGTCTAAGTTCGGTCAACTTATCTCAACTAGACATGGGCCTTTATATCATATTTGAAACTATTGAGTGATTGCATGTGGCATTTTATACTGACATGTGGTATTTTTAATTGTATACATTTATGAAATTTGGATCGCATTGTTGAATATCAACTTTTGTCATTCAGAGCAGTTATGCATATTATGGGCATTGTATTCAAACATGAACAAAGGTCATATTTTCAGAGACAAACTCTTTTTAATCAGCTACAACACAGATTGTTTTCAAGTGTGGCAGTGGTAGAAAGATTTCTTGTTGCGCACCACTACACAAAAACAATAACATCAAAGGACAGGGGGTCAAATTTGACACATATTTGACATGCATAACAATTGCATTGCTTATTGCTTCAAGGGTTTTTTACCAGGAATTTCTGGCCTTCATGTCTAAGTGGTTGGTGAAAGTCTACATGACTTTGTACAACTGTGGGAACACAGCAGGAGAGGGGGGCTGGGAGAGGATGAACTATTTTGGAATGTTTTTGGAAGTGTTTTTGTAGGCAGACAGAGCAGTTGTTAGTATACAGATAGAGTGTTACACTTATTCTGTCCCATTTTTGAAAAAAAGAAAGGTGTTTGAGTCTTTAAAGAATTGGTTTTATAAGGTGTGTAAAAAATCTTTTAAAAGGTAACAATGAGAAACCAAATTAAAATGAAGGTGTCAAGAATATTACTGTGATCATTGTATATTTATCAAAGTACCAGTTTATAAAAGCAACAAAACACAATGAAATAAAATAAAGTGGTTGGAAAGTTTGCATTTGATCATCTTTTGATCAACTTTACTGCCAAAAGGATCAGAATAAGTGACTTAACTAGTAAGGCAGATAACTTGAACTTTGTACATATTGCTTTTCCTTTAGTTTATCTGTTATTGCCAGATTTATGTTCCAGTTGTTACTTGTAGCTTTCTTTTTCAGTTGTTTATTTGGTTATTTTACATATATATCACAAGATTGCAAAATAATTCAGCTCAGTCATATTATTTATACCACCTTGAAAAAAAGAACTACACATTTTTGTTCTGTTTGGCGATTATATTATTTCTAATGGCTATAGTATAGGGAATCACCTGGACAACCTGCAAATCTCTTGGAGATCTTAGTCACAGTCTGTGATGAATTAAATTTTACAAGGTGACATGATTATAATAAGTGATTGAAGTGATATTGTTATATCTCTATGTAAAATCTTGAATTTAATTTCAGACGAAACTGATCACCTACTTCACCAATCAGTTGATCCATATTCAGCGAGCTCGGGCAGCCAATAATGGGGTATTGCCAGGGACGCTCACCAAGTACCCCAACACAGCCAGCTGGTTGGAGATAGTGGGACTGAAGGAGGAGGTCACTAAGGTTAGAATTATAAACTGAAGATATATGGTCCAGAGGAAAATTCTCAGTGTGAAGCTTATTATTTAATGGCTTTTACAGGACTTCTCTGCAGTCAATTTAAAAAATGATTCCCACCTAAATTTGCAGTTTGATATGACGGTCAAGTACAATCTTCTGTTCTGTATTTCACTTTCACTTTAAACAATCTTCTAGTATTCTGTGTAATAATTGGGAAATGTGTGTATGCTGCTTGCTCTAAGCAAAAACCAATGCTGTCAGATTCTGGGTTACTTATGAAAGTCTTGTCTTTTGCAATACACATTGAATTAACAGCTGTAGTTTTTGGTATTAGACTGATAGCAGACAAATACGTTCAGATATGACACCTGCAAAAACAATTATTCAATGCCAGTAGAATATGTTGGTCAATGTGAACTTTTTTACTACCCTCATGTCGGATACCTCATGATTATTTTAATATCTGTTTTATAACAAATAAAGAATGTTTTGATTTTTATGTACAGTATTAAATATTTGTACGTAGTGTGCCTGGGACCTCTATTGTCAGTGTATTGCACTGTAATGTTTAAAAGATGCATAATGTTTTTATTTAAGTGAAGTCATGTCATATTTTTTTCCATGCAGGTATTCCATTTGAAGCATCCATATCAGCCTAATTGAAACATAATAGAATTTTCTCTTTGCCATTGATTAAGCTTTTTGTTCACATTATTACAGGATATCTTGATTAAATTAAAATATCAAAGTGACCACACAAGTTACCATAAAAGTTGACCAGAAAATGTGCCAAACACTTAGAATTTTTACTTTTCAAGCAAGAGCGAAACCAGTGAAAAAAAAAGATGTATGATTTCTTCACTTTAACCAAAGCATTCTATAAGATCTAAATCATATTTTCAGGGCATCCTCACAGAGAGTGCAACAGTGGAGAAGCTGTTAGAAATGAGCCCTGACCAAGTAACAGATATGCTGCAGAGATATAAAGGAGGGTTTGATGAGACCAGCAGACTTAACAAGGCTTTGTGTAAACTGAAGATCTGTTTAGGTAATAGGTGACACAATTCTAAGATTTCACATACATCTTTGCAACAAATAGACTAGAATATTACAAAAAATTTGTCAACAGTTGATTACTCTGTCTCAGTTGATACATGTCTGTAAGTGTGAGCATGTGCAGGTGCATCTTTTCCCAAAAATCAGAGTTGGTCAAAAGGCATGACGACTTCCTTCTTTGATTGGTAACAAAGTACTGCACCACATAGGTGCACAAACACTTAAATTACTGTAAAGAAGTAATTTTGTTGGTAATGAATGAGTAAATGTTACCCAAATTTTATTAATCGAAGCCCTGCAACAGTGGTTGGGATACGTCAAGCCAATGGATTGTGTTAGCTGCTTGTAAAACTGCGACTGTCATGTTTTGCACACAAAATGATCTATACGTCCAGCCAATTAATGTGGAATAGGTGTTTGTCATGTTCATAAGGGTACACAAGTTGTGCTCCCATGATACAACTCTGGAGTGCAGGTGCCCCTTTTCACAAAAAGCAGAGTCGGTCATTGACCTCTGTCATCTTCCTTCAGATCGCCAGACCCATGGTGAGAAGCCAGGTGGCAGTGATGATTTCCACTGGGAACCCTCTGGCTCCAGCACCCCCACCACAGAGCAGGAGAAAGAGCGGGAAGAAGAACAACCCGAGATCCACCCCAAGCCCACCAGCAGGCCTTCCACGTCATCTCTGCCACCAAACACAGTTCTTGACAGACATTCCAGTGACTCCACCCCATCTCACAGCACACCTAACTCACCTGGTCCTCATCCATCACCAGACAGGTAAGTGCTCTTTAAGTGATACTCTCTTAATACCACATGAGAATTTTGGTCCTTGGTCATGGATTATGCTAGGGGCATACAGAAAATTTAGAAGATGACCACTTTGTTCTTGAGATTATCATCCAAATTATTAAAAATAGGGTTAAAGTGTACATGTGAAACTAGCAATAAAATATTCATTCATGACAGATACTTGAACTATTTGACTGCCATTAGATTCATCTAGATTTTATTTTCCAAAATCCAGAAGAAGATTAACACCACCACCGACACCTCCATTGGGCAGGCAGTCTAAGCCAAAGATTCACCCGACAGGCACTCCACCTCCATTGAAGAGACACCACATCATACTACCTGAATTTCCCCTGACTAAAAGCAAATCACATGAGTCGCAATTGGCAAATAGAGTAACAGAACAGAAAAGTAGCAAGTAAGTTCCAGATGTGAATTTTTATACAGTTTACTACCTGGTACTTGAAATGTAAGGTCTGTAGTTCTTTGGTATATATGTAGTCACAATATTGGTAATATTTATTTATTTATTTCAGTTTTGCATATTTTAGCTATAGTTAAAGATGCATTATATGTCATCATTAAATGTTAATCTTTATCATTTAGTCTTGTACATAACTGAATTTATTTAAGGTCATCGTCTGAAATAGTACTTCTAGTGTTTAACATTGGTGAAAACATCTGCTTTTAGATATTAAATTTGACATATAAATTTTGTTTCAAAGATCTACAACTAAGAAGAAGCCGATTAATTTAAACCTGCATGGCAGCCATGACACCATTTATGATGGCCGCCGTATGTCCACAGACAGTGGAGAAAGTGGAGGGACAAATAGAGCAGGTATGTCTGTCTGGTCTTTAATAATTGAAGGCACCAATCCCAAGTACCCTGAATCAGAGCAGCTTGATTACGTTTTGTTCCCATATGAATCACCATTTATGTACACAAACATATTGGATGTTCTTATACATATATTGAAATCTTATTGTTGATTATGATTGTGGATTTTAATTTGCAAATTAAATAAGACGAAACCATCTTTGATTGTAATACAACTACTTTATTTCATAGTAAAGTAAAAGTAAAGTTCGCTTCTTATATGCCCCACCGCAGATGTGTCTCAGTAGGGTTTACAGGTGCAGTTTACATACAGATTTACATATTAATTTGTAATTGTACATGCAATACAACAAAATAGTATAGGAGATACACTACAAAAGTCAGGTAATTCTCACTCATGTTGCCTGCATGTTATGAATCCTTATTAACCCAAAGCATCAGGTTAAAAGCAGACACCCTCCTAGAGTAAAATTGTCTGCGAGAACTGTACCTCATTGTCCCGATTGTGTTGTTAAATATTATATAATAATATATATAGTTTTTTAATGAATACAACAATTTAATCACCTCTTTTTCCAGATACTCTCATGGTGCAAAAGTCCCCTAAAACTGCAAGGAGTATGTTACATTCTATCAACCACAGGTAAAATGAATGGCAAAATTTTTATATATGTTTGTTTATTCAATATATATAACTTTAAGCTAAAAAAAGTTTTAACTATAAGTTAACAAGATTAAGGTGTATGTTAAAATTTATAGATCTGTTATATAATCCTTAATTCAGTGCAGTGTATTATTGTTGTTCATTTATTATTTACTTTTATAAGTTCATTTAAGCTGTGTTTGTTTGAGACAACCTGATGAATGTTGTTGAAAAAAAGAAAACAAAATTAGTTTGTTATGGTCTTAAACATAAAAAAGTTTTCATTTTGCACTTGCATGTTTTGGATTTTACTCTAGGATGTACACAATTTTGTTGCCTAAAGCTGATAATTATTATTAGCTATCAGTGATAATGAAGAAAGGCATGACATGACTTAGATTTACCCATTACTATATTAATAGCTATTTTTTGTCAGTGCATGAAATAGTGAGAAAGATGTTGGTTGTGGGGATTATTGTCTAGTCAGTAATGAAAAGTCTTTCTTTTTCAACTGCTGCCAAGGTTTACTAACATGTTTAAGTTAACTAGCAGTAGCTGTGACTACTGTTATCGGCCACTTTTTCGTGGATATAAATGTAAAAACTGCAAGTAAGAAGATCCGTTTTGCCAGCTTGGTGAAAGTTGGGCAGTGCCAATGTGCAATATCAATGTGGTGCATGTATACTTGATAATTGTTTGTGCAGACACTGGTTTAATTTCATAGAAGCAATGTGGCTATGAGCATATCCCTTGCTTTGTTTCTCTAAACCCTCTCTTTTGTATATTAGAATTAATGCATGATTATATTCTACTCCTATTTTGGATCTGTATCATTAAACAACTATACGTATTAATCTAACAGCCTTTAGGGACTCGGAGATCTTTTTTGTTTCTTCCAGATATTGGTGTCTCTTGAAATGAACTTTATTTTCATAGCAAAGGTCATCGTTTCACCTTCTTTTGATGATGTTCACAAATAGTGAATCACTTTCTAAAGCCATATATGTAGGGTTACATACAATGCTGGGCTGAAACTAACATATGCATTTTGATCCAATGAATAAATAATTATAGTGAAGAAAATGACAAAAAAAGACAAATTTTGTTTAATTTTGAATGAAAATAGTTAAGCCATGATTAAGTTGCTATTTGCCTAAAACTGAAATTCTGTTAGTGAAAGCCAAGCAGTTTGTGAACCCTAATACTGCACTGTTAAATACTTCTGATAACTGAGTACTCAGATTTGTTTTTTCAGTCAAATATTTTTTTTTCCAATGATCTGAATTTGAATCAAGTATTCAAATCTGCTTAAGGTTATATACCCTCTTAGACAAAACAAGGTAAAAATATATTTGTATAAACTGGTTGTTAATGTATTATCATATAATATTTTATGGACATGGCAAGTTTTCACATAAAAGCATAGTCAAGTTTCTGATGACATCATATATTGGCAGTTTTTTTTTTTTTTGGGGGGGGGGTTGAAGGTGCTGTTTTTGGCTTCTTGATGTTCTCTGTTGTCTCAGCTTGTCAAAAAATATCTAAGAACAAATAGGAACATGAGAACTATGTTTTGTAATGGTGCAACTGATTTTATGAAAATTACTTCCTTATAAAAAAAAACAATTTTAAATGAACCTTTGTAAATAAAATTGCCTAACATCAGGTAACCAGATGTCAAATCAAAATCTGTGTCACTGGATTAATTTTCATAGCTTTTGCATCAAGTGCAGTTTATGGTAATTTAGGTCGAAGCGGTTGTGGAGTTGGCCTCCAAAATGATAGCTGTCTACATTCTATAAGAAATTTTGAATTATGTTGAAAATAGCTTTCTGACAGATAAAACTGGTACCTTAGCTATTAAGTCAAATGACATACCCACCTTTTATCAATATGTTGGTCAACATAGTCCCTTAGTATATGCCAGATGACAGACATGATAGATTGATAAATAAATGAAAGAAATAACTTCAAGGTGACAAAATAATATATTTGTGGGTATATAACCTTACCACTTTTTACCACAAGGCCTTTCTGAGTTCTCAGTTTTTAGATGTAGTAGGATATATATGGTAACTTACCCTTTTTCTGTATAACTCACCTGTTCACCTTATGCTTTGTATGTTTTTCTGCATAGATTCAGCAGTAAACTTATATTCGGAGATTGTGATTACTGCAGTAAACATGTGTTTAGAGGAAAAGTGTGTAAATATTGCAAGTAAGTGGACACCTTTGTGTGTGCAATCTTGTTCTCTGCAGCAGTTTGTGGGGGTCAAGTTGAAATATAAATGGGTATTAACCACGGTGCAGGCACATCACACATTAGAACATAGTTTTATTTAATGTGTGAGGATATTAACCAACAAAATGAACGAAATTGCATACATTTTTATTTTGAAATTTGTGATGATAAGCAAACATTTGTGAACACCAACCACTGTCTGCATTATCTTCACATATTTCATTGAAATTGGATTCTGAATTTCTTTTGTACATAAATGTATCACTATATGTCTTCTCCTAGAAATTGCTTCAGAGAACAAGCTATCCTTTCTCAAAATTATCAGATGTTATGTCATCTTGAGTACGTAAAATGTTATGCTGGCAAAATGTATAGTGTAGTTATTTTATAGTATAATGTAAAATGATTCTTTATATATAAAGTAACATTAAGCTTAACAAATAAAAATAACTTGCAATTTTATTAATTTGAAGAAGTTAAACTTGATTAAAAAAATTTTATTCCAGCTTTGTCTTTTATCACTATTTATAACAAAATTTTGTTGAAGTAAAAAAAAATTGGAAAATGAAATGCAATCTGTCATTAGTGTTTTTTAGAGACTTCTATGAAAGAATCTAATTTTATTTCATATCCTAGGAAAAAATTCCATAGAGAGTGTGCTACCAAAGCTGCCCCAGCATGTGGACTACCGGACGAGTTCTTATATAAGTACTTAGAATTCATTAGACAAGATGGTAAGTCAGGAAACTTCACCACCGTTCATGTATGCCAGTGAAATTTCCCATATAACTAAAATGATTGACCTTAATTATTTTGTCACCTTTGGGTAGCAGTTGATTTGATTCCATTCTTTGGATTAATTTTGCTTGAGCAAAAAAATTTATATTCACATTCACTGACTTAAGCTCTTTTTTCTTTTAGTTTGATATAAATGGTATTTAGTTAGGATGTATCTCACACATAGTAAATCAAAGCTGTAAAGCAGATAATATTTTAAACATAGAGAAAAAAATGAAATGGAATGAAATACAAATTGTTTTAAAAATGAAACAACCAAAGGTAAATATGCTCATTACATTTTTATTGATAAATTTCTTGAAACCAACCACAAAAAAAAGATAATTTTCCACTTTATTATATATATGAGATAAAATGGAAAAAGTAGAACAGGTGATAAGTGCATTTCCATTGTTATTTTCCAACTGGAGATAACTATTTTTGTGATTAGATGATAACAAAATGTGCGGTGAGCTTAACCCAGATTTTAAATGTTGTTGTTTCAGGCGGGTCACCAGCTTCTCCAAGACATGTGATGGACCTATCAGGCAACAACCACAACCACGAAAGTAACAACAAGATGAAGCCTGTCCAGTCTGTCCCCACCTTCGTTTCAGTGCCAGACTCCAGCTCAAACCCCTCCTCCTGTAGCTCATCCACTCCCTCATCCCCTGCGCTGATCACCAACCCCTCATCCACATCCACCAGTATGACCCCACCCACCCCAGCAGGACCCAACTCTCCAGTGATCAGGGTCACAGAGTTCCAGTTTCCAGGTACGTGGATGTTACCATGGTTACAGTCAGGGTTAATTTGCATAATTTAAATGCAAGAGGAGGAAAGATAAAATTGGGAGCCATAGATCCTGAATTTGATAGGTGAATTGATGGGCAGTTTAGGAAAAGCATGAGATAAACAAAATGTGTGTGTAGTGCAGCAGGTGAGATGTAAATTTTGAGTGTGTCATGAACCTGTGTGAATCACCAATTTAATGAGATATTTATTGACTTGTTTTGTTTTTCCCTCTAGAAACAAATGATAATAGCAGCATTGTAAGTTCTACAACAAGTGGCTATCTGAATACATACAATGGCTTTGAACCTAGGGTGAATGATAACCACAATGCGTAAGTATTTTTATTAGCAAACCTGAATGACATAGTTACATTACTGATTGCTGATCTCTCTCTCTCTCTCTCTCTCTCTCTCTCTCTCTCTCTCTCTCTCACAAATGAATTTAGAAGGATAGAGACCTCCAACCAATAAATTCTAAAATACCTTTCTCCAGAGGTAGTTAACTGATTGGTAATATTTTATATGTTTTCAGAGATGTTATAAATACCAACACGTCAAATGACAGTGACAAAACAATAACAGTAAGTACTTTTCTGTATAATAATACTGAATGCTACTTATCTGAGATTAGAAGTGAAAAAGATCAAATGGGTTCAGTTACAAGAAAGAGGAGTAGAAATTGAAGTATTGGGTCACTTCTTTATGTCAGAAATTTTTTATGAATACCATACTGTGTGTGTGTGTGTGTGTGTGTGTGTGTGTGTGTGTGTGAAAATATTGATTAAATAATGCGATTTTTTTTTCAGAGTAATTCAGAAAAAATTATTCCCGACCGCACAGATTCCATAGATAGTCAAGATGATGCCCTGCTGCATCGGGCTTTAAGTGTAAGTTAATATTACTAAATCATTTTACTGAAGTAGTTGCTTGCTTTCTTTGATATGCATTTTAGACCATAGTTCAGTAAGATCAACAATATTGTGAACTGTTACATTAAGACATCTTTTGTATATTACAAATTCAGATACATGTCATGTTTTAATCAATTGTTGATAGACTGGGTCTTGACAATGTACTGTTTTTGTTTTCAGATATCTGTTCAGATAAAAGAATGGGACATCCCTTATGAAGACTTAACAAGGGGTGATATAATAGGTCATGGAAGGTTTGGAACTGTATACAAGTAAGTTTGCTTGTTTAGAAATAAGTTCATATTGATTTCGACATTTTGACAATTGTTGAACAATATTTTTTATGTTGGTGCATGTGTCCTTTAAAAAAAACAGCAAATGACAAGTTCTATCTCATTCAGAATTCCACAAAATCCACACCTGTCATAGAATTTATTTTGAAATTCTTGTGGTTTTAAAGGTCAAGTGTGTCCAGAATGTGTTAAGATTGTAAAGAGATGATTTCTTATTGCTTGGTAATGTATTCTCCACCCCCCACTCCCCCCCCCCCACCCCCACCCCCCAACATCCTTGACACAAGGCTCATGATCCCTTTCCTTGTAGTACAGACTAATTAGGATGACAATGTCTTTTTCAGGGGTCATTGGCATGGAGAAGTAGCAATCAAAATGTTAAACATGGACCCTAATGCAGACAATCAAGCACAGTTATCAGCATTCAAAATGGAAGTAGGTGATATTTGTGATGAATTTCTATCCAGTGATGTTTCTATTCTCCTTATAAAAATTATTGAAATTTGAAAATTACTGGCACTTTAAAAAAAGGCCAATAAATTTGACTAAAAATTCTAATGTACCAGTGAAAATACTTCGTTTATTAAATTAATTGGCACACGTTGTAAGTTTCTTAAAAATATGAGTTTGCATTAAACTTTAAAAAAGCTTGTGCCTTTTGTGTTGGAAGAACAACGAAATGTACTGTTGACATACAAGATCATCCAGATAAATTCTTGGTTTTAAATATGTGAAATATACATTAGCAAACATAGTTCTGGGGGTGATTGTTAATTTCCAGGTGGCAATGCTGAGAAAAACTAGGCATGACAATTTAGTATTATTCATGGGTGCTTGCATGAAGCCTCCGCACTTAGCCATTGTAACAAGGTAACATTCATTCACTGCCAACAAGTTATGATTTTAGATGAAGTGTTACAATTGCAAGAAGTTTTATCTATATTGATTTCTATTTTAATTTGATGATGATGATATATTTATCACTAGACTTTTATTACTAGTGTATTATTAAAACAAAACAATTTTGAATTGTGAGTTTGAGTTGTGAGTTGTGATAAACTGATTTTACAACAAGCTGAAGTTAATCTTTTTTCAATTTTTTCAGTATTCTGAAAGGATATACTCTCTATACTCATATCCACATGAGGAAAGAAAAATTCACCATGAATAGAATAGTTATCATCTCATCTCAGATAGTTCAGGGTATGAGCTATCTTCATCACAGAGGCATTGTCCATAAAGACCTGAAGACCAAGAATATTTTCCTGGAAAATGGGAAAGTTGTGATCACTGACTTTGGTCTCTTTAATGTTACCAGGTTGTGCCAAGGAAATGGGTGAGTAGTTATGTGTCTTGCATTGGATGGAATATAACAAATTAAAACTTTCCATAAACATAAATGTAGATATCTTTATCTAGGTTTCTTGCTTTCTTTTATCATGTTATTTCATCCAAAGCCAAATGGTTACACATCTTTTCTTTTTTTGATATAAACAGAATCCATGTAGAATAGATAATTCCCCCCTATGATACATTGACGAGTTACTACACAAATCTTACCTCTTTCATGATCTTCTGTTTCAGGAAGGGGGACTTCCTTGTCATTCCTCCAGGTTGGTTGTGCTACTTGTCCCCAGAGATCATGCGTTCCTTACATGCTGGAGAGAGAAATGAAGATTTGCCTTTCTCAGAGCATTCAGATGTGTATGCATTTGGGTAGGTGAACTATTTCTGCTTGCTGTTGCTGTGGCAAATCTTGTTGTTTTTACAGTTGATTGTGTTCTAGTTTTTCAAAGGCTTGCAATTCTTGACTATAAGCAATTCAGATCTGTTTTCTCTAAGTAAATGCTAAATGCAGATACTTGTTAATAAAGCTGGTGAGCATGAATTATTTTAGAAATACTTTTATATAATGATTACTTATTTTAGAAAAAGTTTTAAAAAATGCTTACCGGAATCAAAATGACAATAAACATTGATTCTTTTCAGAACTGTTTGGTATGAGATGTTCTGTGGTGAATGGCCATTCAAGAATCAGCCCCCAGAGTCCATCATTTGGCAGGTGGGGAGGGGCATGAAACAATCTCTTGGGAACGTCAATGCATCCAAAGACGTCAAAGTAAGTGGTGACAAGGTCGCATTATGTACTTTAGATAAAAGAAGACGTGGGTTTTTTGTTAGTATATGATATATTGATAGAAAATATGATTTGATTTGATTTGATTTAATGAAACGCACTATATTTTTGGCTCAGGTTGTTTAGATTATTGAGGTAAAAACCTGATGTATAACCTTCAGTTACTCTCTTGTACTATTGTTTATCCTAAGACTGGCTTGTCTTCCCTCTCCTAGGATGTATTAATGCAGTGCTGGTCCTACAATCCAGAATCGAGACCGGAGTTTGTCAGATTCTTAAAGATACTTGAACGTTTACCAAAGAAACCACTATCAAGAAGTCCGTCACATCCTATCCACCTTTCCCGCAGCGCAGAATCAGTATTCTAAATACAGTGAAGTGTTAACTTGAGAGAAGAGACTCATCCGGCTAGGAAACAGGCTTTCCATTCATTTAAGTCATTTATACGATGGTGCAGTTCTCTTATAAAAGCAAGCAGCAGATGGTGGGAGACAATGATGAGGGAATAAAGGTTGAATTTTCCAGAAGAGCAAAACCCCAACTGTTACAAAGCTGTGATTCACTCAGTGATACTACAGGATTTAACACTTAGTGTTACAATTAGTATTAAAAGGAATCGGCCATACCACTGCTGCAGCTGATGTGCAGTCTGCATGCTGTTGAAGAGTGCATCTGTTGTATTGTAATAACATAAAAAGTTCATGTTTTTAAATGAAATAGTTGCTTTTATTTTGGTTTACTTAACATTCTTGTACCATGACAAAATTTTTGACAATTCTGCTGTTCTCTCTTTAGTTTGATACCTTTTTATAGTTGCCACAAATTTGTATTCTCTTTTACACCCAGTGTGAAACGTTAACTTCCTCTCAGTCTTAAGTATGTGTAAGGCAACTTTTTATTAGTGCAGATGTGTAAAGATCATCTCGCACAAACTTCTAAGAAGTTTGAGAACACCCTATGACAAGTGCATCTGTCCACTCTTCATGTCAGACTTGTACGTCTTACATATTACTTTAAAACATACCAGACTTGTGCTATAAGTTTTCTCTTAATTATGTGAGCAACGTTTAGACGCCACATTATCTTGTAATTTGTTTTGTTCATTTCAGCATGTGAAAGTTGCACAGTGCTGTTGTAAGATAACACCTGCTTGTTTGCATCCAAATTATGTGTATGGTAACATGCTGTAAAAAGAATTGTACATGTTCCACTTCATCCATACGTCATCAGTTTATGTCAGTGCAATAATATTATGATATAATAATATATTGGACAAACGATAATTGTAAATAATGACATGAATAAAATTGTATTTAACTTCTGGATATGTTTGTCAGTAAAGATCCAGTGTTTTTTGAGCAGAAAATTATTTAACTGCTATGAAGAGCTGTGTGTCATGTCCACCATAAATATCATTTGAATGGGTACATTATGATTATGTATTTTACTACATTGCGTAACCCTAATTGAAAATAATTAATCTAATTAAAAATTATTAACAATCTTTTTAAAAATGTCCCACCAAATTTTCAATTGCATGAAAAGATTCCACAAAGTTGTGTTTTTAAAGGTGAAATTTTTGAGACCAGCTTACACACATTAGGAACTTTTTATTTTGCAATTTGAATTTATAATGTATATTATACAAGTTCGCCCAAGCATAGGCTACAATTTGTTCCACCAAACCCAAAAGAATTTGTAAGTGCTATTCTACGACCTGGACCTTGTTTCCAGTCTTGAGATTCTCTGATATGGTTAAAAGTCCCCACTGGTTCTGGGTCTTCGAGATTCAGTGTAGGGGGAAGTATTCCTTTGTTAATTGCCAATATGGTTAAAATTGCTTCAACACTTCCTGCTGCTCCAAGTAAATGTCCAATAGCACCTTTGGAAGATGAAACCGAGAGGTGCTGACATTCAGGTCCAAATAGTTCTGAAATGGCCCGTGCTTCAACTGCGAAAACACATTTGCATAGTTTGCTCAACTTGTTTCCGCTGTTTTAACTCCACTTGTATAGCAGATGTATTTATACAATAGTGTATTCACTCTTCGTCAGTGTTACTAGCACTGTTATAAAACAAGGGCTATACATTTATCATTGTGTCACTTGCAATGAAGTAAGAACATAGGTATTTAATNCATCGCCAAGAGGAGTTGAAGTAGCATGAGCATTAATGTATGTCACATCTTTTGGTGTGAGATAAGCATTCTTTATTGCATTTCCCATGCAGCTGCGTGCACCAGTCCCATCTTCGGAAGGTGAAGAAATGTGGTAAGCATCCCCAGATAATCCATATCCAAGTACTTCAGCATACATTTTAGCTCCTCGGTTAACCGCATGTTCATAGTCTTCTAAAACCACAATACCAGCACCCTCCGACATTACAAAACCATCACGTGATTTGTCAAATGGCCTCGAGGCTTTAGCAGGTGTGTCATTGAAGTTGGTGCTCAGTGCTCTCATTTTGGCAAACCCTGCTACAGCTAGGGGATACAGAGATGCCTCTGTCCCCCCACACACCATTACATCAGCATCCCCATACTGTATAAACCTGGAAGCATCCCCCAGGGCATGGAGTCCAGTAGAACATGCTGTGGACACCGCATGATTTGGGCCCTGAAAAAGAGTGCAGAGACTTTGAAGTCACTAATTCTACATTCAAATAGTGAAACAGAAATTATAATATCAATGAAGATATTTTACTGTTGAAGCTACAAATTAATTTTTGTACAGCAATATAGTACAGATACTATGAAGTCACTAATTCTACATTCAAATAGTGAAATAGAAATTATAGTATCAATGAGGGTAGGTTATTGTTGAAGCAATAAAATAATTTTTTGTACACCAATACAGCACAGAGACCATGAAGTCACTAATTCTACATTCAAATAGTAAAATAGAAATTCTAATATCAATTACTGAAGCAATAAAATAAATTTTTGAATAGCAATATTTTTATCCTGCCTCCATGGCCTACTTCATACTTTCTTGGCACCATTATATTGGAAAGATGTCCTAACTGACTGGTTTTCATACCTTCAAGCCATGCCTCAAACTAATGTGTCCAGCACTCATATTAACCAAGATTCTGGGTATAAAGTGAGGTTTTATTTTGCTGTATTTGCCATCTGAAAGTAAAGCTCCAGCCTCATGTATTTCTTCCATTGAAACCATTCCAACGCCGACAGCTACCCCTAAAAATAGAAAATAACACAGACTAATGAGCCATTTCATCCCTTTAAACAAAAATCATAATTTTGATTTTTCTATATGTCATTGGTTTTTTATCAAGTTGACACAAGGTATTCATTACTTAATCTTTTCACTTACTGCATGCTGTTATACATAACAATTCACTTTTAACTCACCTGTTCTCTGCCTTTCCTTGTCAGTCTCTGGTTTCCAGTTGGCATCTGCCAGGGCCTCACTAGCTGCTGCTAGAGCATACAATGTAGCTTGTGCCATGGATCTCCTTTCTCTAGAGGAAGCAATATCCTCCACGTTCAGTTCTCCTGGACCACTTCCTATGGGCACGCGTCCTGCCACCTGACTGGGAATACCTGCAAATTCTACAACAAATGGCAAACAGTATCAATCAATATTGATATATCACTCCAGATTTCATCAATACACAAGAATTAATATTCAATAATTTGAATAAAGACTTTAATTATCATTTTAGAAGTCTAAAGATTCATGGGTGTTCACTAGTTGAAACTTTTCAATTATTTTGTACAAAGAGGTTAATTGAACAGCAAATTAGAGAAATGAAAGGTTTTCACCAACACTGTTGTCTTAAGAAAATAGGTCTCAAAAAGCAATTACAGCTCATATCTCCTGATAACTGAACCTTCAGACTATTAATTGAAACTTGGAACTAATATAACTTTGGGACATTTATTTCATACATACTTTAATATTTTTTTTTTATAATATACCATACTTCAGTATTTCAAATACACTCTTTCTTGTCTCCAATTTGACTTCAAGGAGAAAAGAGGAATAAATGGATACAATTGAAAACTGGTTCTTGCCTTTGCCATCCAGTTTAGTCAGGCCACAGTGACCTTTGATGACCCTCTCCCACACATGTGCCGTGCCACAGCCCAGACATGTCACCAAACCCAGACCCGTCACCACCACACGCCTTGGTTGAAGCATGGCTGTTAAGCTTAATCTTCCAAGTCCTCCTTGAAAGGTGAAGGCTTTGATCAAGTATATGAGCCCGTTAAAATATATTGTTGAATTACAAATCCTAAAGTTTGACATGGGATCCTGAGACACCAAAACTCATAGTAAAAAGAAAAATAAATTTTATTTACAAGAATGGAATTTTAATAAAATCTAATATACTATTATTGATATGCAACGCAGTAATAGTGTAATTTACACCCGTGTTACTACAATCTACAAGACCAGGAAGTAATGTACGTCAGGATTAATTAACACCTGTAGTACCAGTACATGTACAGTACCGTACATGTACATGTACCTAATTTAGAATCAGATTAAATACTTTTAAAATTCAATAAGATCTTTACTAAAGTACTGCATGCCAGTCAATCTGAAATCAGTTTTCTCAACTGTATTTATACAACATACTTTATCTTATAGTTTTAAACACGTGTGAGATAATTAAAAATAAACGAAGTAAATAGATACCCACCCCCCTTCACGGTTCTACTCCACTGGCCAGCACATGATAACCATTTACTGCGGAGCTATCACCTCTGACCTTTGACCTCAATTGCTCTGACATAGTTTACGTTTTGCTGAGTGACGACCGACGCACAAAAGTATTTCCATATCGTTAGATCTTATTCGGATATATTAAACGGTTCAACAGTCCATGTCAGCATGTTTCTGTTCACACCAAGGGGAAGGTCTGGGTCAGTGGGCTCAGTCGCTTCTACTAGGAGAACAAGTGTGAGTTCAGACATGGAGTCTTTTCGTTCAAGGCAACCACGTATGGAGGGAAATCTGAAATGGGTAGACACTCTGTAAGTTTAAAGTCTTCACAATATTTACTGTTTCTATTTTTTGTAACACACACAAAACAACCTGATGTTTAAATCGATAAATGATTTTTGCTTTATATATGATCTGGCCCACATCAATAGTGCCGATGCTTAGGACAACCTCTGAAAAAAATATTTTATTTAATTTATTAAAGGGAGCTAGGGGGGAGGGAGCTAACAAGACAAGTGCAGGTGCATGGGATTTTATGCATTTAACCATTAAAAATGTCGAGTTATGCAAATAGATGCATGAAACTTAACATCTTCTTTTTCATATTGTTTGTAATTGACAGGATCTGCAATTGTGAACATCATCATTTATTACAAATTTATAAACTATTGAAAATGCACCTAGAATCATATTTGAAAGGCATAAAGTTTCATGTAAAAAACATCTAAAAATAAATAAATGAATTGCCAACTAATTTATTTGAGTAGCAGAGACATTGCTTAAAAGCCATAGTCTGAAGGTTCGTTGGTCGGAAGGTACGATAGTCCGAATTAATGCATGAAGAAAACTGTATGGTATACTGGCAATAAAGTGAAGTTCATCAGAGGCGTGTATATATGATTTTAAGGACCAATGAACCTTTGGATTTTCGAGATGCCACCCACTTAAAGTCGTCACACAAATTGATTTAGAAGAGATATTGAATATCACAGAGTTATGGTGGTGGTGGGGGTATACTGCAAGTTTGCAGAAGTCAGCATGGTTTGGTCTCATTCGATTTTACTTCAGAACAATTTTCCTACAGGGTTTTTCATAGGTCAGCGGTCACTTTTGTACTAGTATATAATAAGCCTTACTTCTGGTAATTTTAGATCATGCTCCTCCCTTATTTTTATCTCAGTCATGTGCTTTAAAAAAATCTTCTTGCATTGAAAATAAATAGAATTTATAGTTGAACTTTAAGTAGATAAATGATAATAAGTCAGTGGAAAATGAAAAAAAAAAAAAAAAAACCAAAATGCCGAGGACTCTGAGATTTTTTCAAAATAAAGGTTAGGGGAAAAATATTTTTTGTAGATTAAAAATACACAAATAGTTTTGTGCTGTATAAATAGTTTGAAACTTTAATGTTTTTTTTTTCTATTTGTTTTAGGGAATGTTCGCATGAAGTGATGTGTTGTCGCTTCCATCCTGAGGGAAATGTATTGGCAGTGGGTCAAGCAGATGGGACAATCAAAGTAAGCTTTGGTAGAAATACTTTTTACCTTGTGGCATATTTATTGGCCAGATAACAAAATCAGTACAGTATTTCAGTTTGTAATGGAGATAGGAAAAACAAAACTTTCAACTCTGATTGGCATCTTATGAGACTAGAAAAGGTGAGAATACACATAAGGTGTTGCTAGGTTTTTAAAGATAAGGTGGAAACTATTTGCAGGTAATATCATCTTAAAAAGCAATTATACAGAGGTGTTGCACAAAACATGGTGGAATTATACTTTTGTGTAACTGTTTTACAGAACTAAAGAGAAAATAATCCTTTAGTTTCATGTTTGATCTAAAAATTCAGTAAAATTACTTTTTACATGCCTGAGATTCTAATTTTTTATTTTCGTATTTTCTTAATTAATTTAAATCTATTTTATATGTGTCATTGTGTATGTGTGAAGAAACTATATAGTGTCAGAGAAAGAAAATCAACTCTTGAATTGATGGTTCTTCTCCCTAACTATGTTCACTTGGGAATAAAACTTATTGATTGCAGAACATGGAGAGTTAAAAGCCATTAAGAAGAATTCTCAGAACTAAATCTAAATTTTCAAAAATCAATAAGGGTACTATTTATCAGATTTACCTGCAATAGGTAGAATACTAACAGCAGTAAAGTGTGTGTGATGCCATTAGACGCAGAATAGAACGCTGGTGCTCAAGGCTGGAAAATACTATGATTGATCTGCTGTAAATTATTCAAAGTGAACTTTCAATGATTTCCAGTCATCAAATGCACTAGCTCAGAATTCCCAGAAACTTGCCAATATACATTTTTCTGATTTTCCTGCTTTATTTTTTATAAGAAAAAAAAATCGATGATAAATTTTTAGATTTTTATTGCTTTAGGCCAGACAACATTGATAAGTTGGTTGACATGTGCAACCAACCATGATTTTAAGGGTGGAAATGCATTTGGCTTGGTTTGGTGAAGTGGGGAAAAAGTGACATTATGAAAAATATTGACAGTGTCGTTTTTATACTGAAAAATTACCCACACTATGTATTTGACCAGCATTAACAGTTTTTATGTACTTAAAACCTCTTTACAAAAAACTCGCCGACCAATATATATCAGTAACAGTTCTGTTTGGCCCTACAGCAGTTCTAAAGATTTTTTTTATCAGGCCTTGCATAGTCAAGGCAGTAGAACACAGTTACAAAAATATTCATGGCAGCATTCATACACTGTACCTCTCAACTTTATATCTTTGTCATTTCAGCATACAGAAAATGTTTGCTGCTTCCTGTAGGGCGTGGATTCTATGTTCATGCATTAAGTGAAGCAGATATATCTTGTAAATCAATTAGTGACACCATCAGCACTTAAATCTCATATGTTTAAAATATATACATAGATACATAATTTCTTAGCTACTAGAATTATACAAAAATACACTCACGCTCAGTATATTTGATTTTATGAAGTAAGTTGGGTGCATTTTCTCATTTCGTAGGTTTTCAATCCAGACACGGGGCAGCTTCTCCATGTATTATCAGATGATGAGACCATCCACACTCATTTACCAGTGACCAGCATTAACTTTGTCATAGCAATGGCAGGAGATGACAAAATTGAACATTCTCACATCCTGATGGCAACATGTAAGTTTCTTTGTTTTGATTTTTTTAATAAAATTCTGTTTAAAACTACTTTCACACAACAGAAATATTTCATTATCTGTACATATTTTGCAAGCAGTACTGGAAATTTAAAAATAGTTTAATGTATTTTTAAATCAGCTATGCTGTAGTATCAAATTTGAAATCAAGTCTCTTTTGTAAAGGATTAGCTAGATGTTTTAACAGTTGGTTTTGTAACCAGTATTTGGCGTGAAGGGTCCAATGTGTAAACTTGTAGAGCTGGTAAACAAACTTGTTTCTCATTCATCATTGTTGGCAGCAATGTCAACTGTTCAGCCCAAAATAACCCAAGTGAGCAGGGCAGTGAGCTTGCTGTGAGTGACAGGTGTTTCTGTATAGCTATCAGAGATAAGATCATATTTAAAGATCAAATAAATCAAGTGTGTTCCGAATTTACAGATTAATCATCAGATTACCTCAATTTTGCTTTATCACACAAAAAGCATGATAGATAATTCTACTTAATATCACATTTAATAATTCTTGATGTGTTTTTAATCATATGTGCATACAACCGTGGGAATTTAACTGTAGGAGAACAAGGAGCATATCCTGTAATTCTTGTATTGGCAGGCTCCCTAAGAAATAATGGCTTTCCTTAAAAGCATTAAAAATGTGTGTGGCCAAAGTGCAAATAACTGCTGTACCCTGCGTCAAAATGACACCAGGCATTTAAATTGTATTCAAACAAAATGTGCAAATCGTCATTAGTTTTGTTTTCTTGTTATTTTAGTGAACAGTCAAATTGAACTACACCAGGGATGTACCATGTCCATTGATATTTATAACAACAATTATAAATATTAATACTTAATTGAGAACTAAAATGTGTACAAACTATATTTTATAGGCTCTCTACACTATTGCTTTTTTACACACATATTTATACAAAATATATTATTAACAAAATAGGCATGAGGACTAGAAAATAGCAGAGGATCATAGACTATGGCAAGTAATGGGTATCTCGTTTTGTTAATGCCTTCAGTAATATATACATGCATGGCTCTTAAGCATGATTCACTTAATAGACTGAGCAGCAACTTAGTTTTTCAGGGTCTGTTTCCTGCTCTGGTGGTATCATTAATCTAGTTTTTCTGTCACTATGCTTTTTACATTTCAGTAAGAAATGAGTTTCAGTTTCAATTTTATTGCAGTGGGGGCACTTGTGATCTTTAGTATTTGACAGAAACCTTTTAGATATGAGCCAGTGCATTTCTTAAAACAGCATTATAACGTATTAATTTGACTATCTAAAGCTATTGATCCACATAATGTTTGCACTAAGCAAAGATTCAAAGTCCTAAGCAAGTATTTCAGATAATCTCAAAAAAGTTACTTTTCTGTTCAAGCAAGAAGAAATTTGCCAAAGAAGCATGTTGTTTATTTAACCCAACACATAAAACACATTTGCATAGTTTGCTCAACTTGTTTCCGCTGTTTTAACTCCACTTGTATAGCAGATGTATTTATACAATAGTGTATTCACTCTTCGTCAGTGTTACTAGCACTGTTATAAAACAAGGGCTATACATTTATCATTGTGTCACTTGCAATGAAGTAAGAACATAGGTATTTAATAGCTGAAATGGCCCTGCATGACCACCGAATGTATTTAGTTATTTCATTGACCACATATAACTGGGGTGAAAAACCAGCAAACCATTCACTGCCACCTGAGGGAAAACAGTAAAGAACCGTGGCCTTTAAGTTTTTGTGTTTGCAAGGTGGTCTGAAATAGTACACAGTGGGTTTATAACTCTTGATTATCATCTTGAGACTGAAGAAAAGAATAATGAAAACTAATTTTAATGCACCCTTGCAGATCCACAAATATATTTATAAATTACCCAGTAACTTTGTGTAATAGCATGTCCAAAAATGTTCTTTTTTAGCATTTAGAAAAGAGCAAAATGCCAACTGGGGATCAGCATCTACTGCAAATCAGTATTTTGATATAAGGCCATAGTTATACTTTTATAAATAAACTAAAAAACAATATCCTCTTTTTTGACAATCAAACATTTCTTTTCTTTATTGTATACAGTTCAGTTCTATGTCAGATTACATGTTGTTGGCCAGCTGTTACTTTACCAGAAGCCCCCTCAGAGTTCTGTTTTGTTGTTATAGTTACTAAATCATTAACTGTCATTTCCTCCTCTCTCCTCGTTTAGAAATAATAATTCATCACCAATAACTTCAATGATGATGTCTAGATTTTTCTCTTCTTTAATTTGAATATTTTGCTCCCTTCATGCATCAACACACATGCTTTGCATAATCAAAGCAGATGTTTCTATACTTGAGAACATTGCACAACCCTAACTACAACATTAGGCAGTAGAGTAATGGGTTCTCAGGATTTGCATCATTTTCACTGATTCAGCAACATGAATCGATTTGCTGTTTTATAGAAAAAAGCACCAGTTATAACTCAACGCCAGGCAGTAACACATATAAGATCACAAATTGTAATGGGCAATAAAGCAATGAAAGTTAGCAATGGACAATAAAAATATCATAACGTTTTAAAGTGCTTTTTTTCTGCGGGAGGGTTAGCCCAATAGGTGAGACACTAAGATTTCTTAGTAAGGCAGCAGGCTTAGCCCAATAGGTGAAACACTAAGATTTCTTAGTAAGGCAGCAGGGTTAGCCCAATAGGTGAATCACTAAGATTTCTTAGTAAGGCAGCAGGGTTAGCCCAATAGGTGAATCACTAAGATTTCTTAGTAAGGCAGCAGGGGTTAGCCCAATAGGTGAAACACTAAGGCTCTATTCCCATAGATTTTAGATCAATCTATCCCCGCTGGGAGTCTCTCTAGATTACTTTCAGATAATCCGACTTAAATGTCCGTCCCGCCTACTACAAGCTGTAAGGGGGTAATTAACTTTCGTGTCTGCCCGGCTGACAGCTATTTAGCGTGAACCCCAAGGGAGTTAGGTCGATCTAAAGTAGGTCGATCTAATCTATGNAAAACACATTTGCATAGTTTGCTCAACTTGTTTCCGCTGTTTTAACTCCACTTGTATAGCAGATGTATTTATACAATAGTGTATTCACTCTTCGTCAGTGTTACTAGCACTGTTATAAAACAAGGGCTATACATTTATCATTGTGTCACTTGCAATGAAGTAAGAACATAGGTATTTAATAGCTGAAATGGCCCTGCATGACCACCGAATGTATTTAGTTATTTCATTGACCACATATAACTGGGGTGAAAAACCAGCAAACCATTCACTGCCACCTGAGGGAAAACAGTAAAGAACCGTGGCCTTTAAGTTTTTGTGTTTGCAAGGTGGTCTGAAATAGTACACAGTGGGTTTATAACTCTTGATTATCATCTTGAGACTGAAGAAAAGAATAATGAAAACTAATTTTAATGCACCCTTGCAGATCCACAAATATATTTATAAATTACCCAGTAACTTTGTGTAATAGCATGTCCAAAAATGTTCTTTTTTAGCATTTAGAAAAGAGCAAAATGCCAACTGGGGATCAGCATCTACTGCAAATCAGTATTTTGATATAAGGCCATAGTTATACTTTTATAAATAAACTAAAAAACAATATCCTCTTTTTTGACAATCAAACATTTCTTTTCTTTATTGTATACAGTTCAGTTCTATGTCAGATTACATGTTGTTGGCCAGCTGTTACTTTACCAGAAGCCCCCTCAGAGTTCTGTTTTGTTGTTATAGTTACTAAATCATTAACTGTCATTTCCTCCTCTCTCCTCGTTTAGAAATAATAATTCATCACCAATAACTTCAATGATGATGTCTAGATTTTTCTCTTCTTTAATTTGAATATTTTGCTCCCTTCATGCATCAACACACATGCTTTGCATAATCAAAGCAGATGTTTCTATACTTGAGAACATTGCACAACCCTAACTACAACATTAGGCAGTAGAGTAATGGGTTCTCAGGATTTGCATCATTTTCACTGATTCAGCAACATGAATCGATTTGCTGTTTTATAGAAAAAAGCACCAGTTATAACTCAACGCCAGGCAGTAACACATATAAGATCACAAATTGTAATGGGCAATAAAGCAATGAAAGTTAGCAATGGACAATAAAAATATCATAACGTTTTAAAGTGCTTTTTTTCTGCGGGAGGGTTAGCCCAATAGGTGAGACACTAAGATTTCTTAGTAAGGCAGCAGGCTTAGCCCAATAGGTGAAACACTAAGATTTCTTAGTAAGGCAGCAGGGTTAGCCCAATAGGTGAATCACTAAGATTTCTTAGTAAGGCAGCAGGGTTAGCCCAATAGGTGAATCACTAAGATTTCTTAGTAAGGCAGCAGGGGTTAGCCCAATAGGTGAAACACTAAGGCTCTATTCCCATAGATTTTAGATCAATCTATCCCCGCTGGGAGTCTCTCTAGATTACTTTCAGATAATCCGACTTAAATGTCCGTCCCGCCTACTACAAGCTGTAAGGGGGTAATTAACTTTCGTGTCTGCCCGGCTGACAGCTATTTAGCGTGAACCCCAAGGGAGTTAGGTCGATCTAAAGTAGGTCGATCTAATCTATGGAAATGGGGTGTTAGATTTCTTAGTAATGCAGCAGGGTTAGCCCAATAGGTGAAACACTAAGATTTCTTAGTAATGCAGCAGGGTTAGCCCAATAGGTGAAACACTAAGATTTCTTAGTAAGGCAGCAGGGGTTAGCCCAATAGGTGAAACACTATGATTTCTCAGAAATGCACACGCCCCTATAAACAAACAAATAAAGTGCTGTGTGACAGTTTTCTAAAGAGGTGGCAAAACAGTGTGAAAGAGTTGCTTCATGCTATGAAGTGCACTGTTCAGCCAGATTAATGGCTGGAAAGAAATTGGATGTTTTTTCCTCTAGTTCCAGCTGTGCTTCAGTGCAATAAACTTTTTCTTAATTTTCATAAAAGAAATTTTTGAGTTATTTCAAAGATCTGATCAATTGGTCAATTGTTAAACTACACAACTGATTATTTCTAGATGCCTCTGGACAGATAAAGTTCTGGCACTACACATCTGGTTCTTGTATCCACACAATCCATGAGGTGAGGCAGACGCTGACTTCCGCATTCACTCCTAGCACAGAAAAGTTTATCACAGCCGGTGCCGACTCTGAGATCCATGTCTATGACACTGAGAGCAAGAGGAAAGTTTTTACCTGTGAGCCAAGGTATGAGACTGTGGAGGTGGGGGGAAAATTGTGCAGGATAGATTTTTAAAAAAAAAGAGATTGGTGCAGATACACGTCTATATTAATAACTGCTAGTTAGGCCATTTAGAGTTTTAATATTAAAAAAAAATTTGTAGGCTGCAAATGACAAATAATGTAAATTCTTCCCCATAGCTCCTGTATTGATAAAAGCAAATGCATAATTTATCAAGCCGATAAGTTCAGACAAAAATTGAGGAAAAATAGATTCATTCATTATTTCTATATGTAGAATAACCAAAATAAGGACAGTCTTTTTTTCATAAAATTCATCTTCAGTGAAGTCTTTGCACATCAATATTTTGAAAAAAATGTAGGAGGAGCAATTGGGCTATGAGCATAATCCAGCAATGTATTTTATTTGTCACCTTTCAGTGATAGTAGAGATTTGATGAATGGTCATCGGCTGAGGGTCTTTGCCTTGAAATTCCATCCATATGAACCCAACATCTTCATATCAGGAGGGTGGGATGATACTGTACAGTTCTGGGATCTGAGACAGAAAGGGTCCACCAGGTGAGGAAATTGCATTTGAATTGTCACTCCTCAAGTCTCGGTCAAAATCCATCATAATATTGTCAACCAGGAGATATTGTTAAAGCTATCAGATATGAAAATTTAGTTCTTTTTAATGTTAATCCTTACAAGGGAGTCTAGATAAGAAAAAACGTTTTTCAAAACAGCTAGAGTAACATGTTGTTCTTCAAACTTGTCACTACATAATATATTTCAGTGAAGCATATTTTAAATTTTTTAAAGATAATCTATTCAATCATAACAGTTATGTTATTGTTGTTGAAGGTCACTGTTTGGTCCACACATATGTGGAGATGCCTTGGATATTGATCCAGTTCATAACCACATCCTCACAGGCTCTTGGAGAAAGGAGAACACACTGCAGGTACAAGATTATATTACATGTACCACTCCTATGGATATTGCATATGGTAGCCCAGATAATCCATAAATGTATAGAACAAGAGAGAGAGAGAGAGAGTTGGTATCATTAGATTTGCATGAACCTACGTATCAGTACCGTTTACAAAGGATGTTAAATTCATGTCTCGGTGTCTGTTTCATTAGAGAAAACTAAAGGCATATTTTCAAATGTGAACTTCTGCTTTACTTGCAGATCTGGGACTTTAATAATGGAGCTAAGATCAAAGATGTTCCCATAGACCACATGCATTCAAGTCTGGTGAGTGAAACAGTATGGAAGTGAAATGGCACAGGCCTCAGATATTTGTACTGTAGTGCAAATGCAGAATGAATTTTTTATTTTTATTTATTTATTTTTTGTGTGTGTGTGTTTTAAGTCACGGTTTTCATTTATATTGGGTATTTTACTGAGACTGTAGAATAAATCTGCATCAAGTGAATGCAAAGGTTTTTCATGATGTTTTTTTATCATTAAACAGAAGTCAATTCAGTCGTCTAAATATGATGGTCAAGACTGAAGTTGTAATAGAAAAGTTCTGGTTTCCTTCCAGCTGTACTGTGCCCAGTGGCTGGGTAAAGACTATATGGTATGTGGTGGATGTGATCACAACATGGCCATGGTCATTGACAGGGGCACACTGAATGTAAGTTTGGCTTAAGACCAACTAAATCAAGATTCCACATATTGCCATGACCATTGCCTGTTAATTACGTATTGTTATATGTTGAATGTAAATATGTAAATATTAATAAATGGAAATTATAAGCATCACAGCTTGTTGAAAACTTCACACATGTTTGATGGGAATAAATTTAATTCAATTCAATTTGATTATTTAACCAGAGTAAAGTATAATCAAACTAACGTTACATAATGTTTGTAATACACAGGTAACTGGTCAGGTGTATGATCTCCCTCAAGGTGTGTACTGTGTGGACAGCACAAAAACAGGAGCCATCCATAAGCTGGCCATTGGATCTGAACACCAAGTACACATTGTCAAAAATGAAAAGAAGTGAGAGGAGACTTAGCACAATTTCTTCTATATGATGAATGAGAGACCTTTTTAAGAGGACCTACTGTAGTGAATATGGTAAATGTAACAGTGGCTCAAGATACTACTCAAACTATTGAGTTATGTATACACAATGTCTGCCCACCTCTGTTGTGCCAACAACCATCCAGGTATATTGATATACTTTGTACAATATATACATATCAACGTTTTATAGAGAGACAATCTAGTAAAAATGACAGGAAACTTTCCAAACCACCAAAAAGAGGCAAAGAACTGCTCGCCACTTTATTTTATTCCATAATTACATATGGTTTAACATTTTTTAACATGAATGCAGTGTCCAAAATTATTTTAAAAGAAAATACATTGTTATTTGTAAAAAAAGATTTTTGAGATATTCCTGGAAGCAGCATGCACTATTCCGTCCACATTACTGCAGTGTCTAAAAGTATTTTAAAACTAAATAGCATTTTATTTGTAAAAAAAAAAGATTTTTGAGATATGCATTCCTGAAAGCAGCATGCACATATTCCGTCCACATTATATATTGTTAGTGTGTTGTTATTGGCATTCTCTATAAGATAAAGTTCTTATTATTATGTAACAGGCATAACCATTCAGTATGCTGATGTATACTCAGAAGTGATACCGATGTCCTTTTCAAAATATTGCTTATTAAATTACAGTGGATTTGCTACTCTACAAAGTTCAGATAGAATGACTATAGTGTTTAGTATTATATAATGTGTATATTGTGTTTAAAGACATTGTATTGTATCTATTAGCATAGCAGAGCAAGATATATGTGTTTAGAAGTGCTTCCCTAATCTCATAACTTAAGAGGCAACAATACTGGTCTTTGTTAAGTGTGTACATTACATATTAAAATGGATAATTTTATTGTAAATGTCTGTGACTATTATTTGAGCTTCATTTGAAGTGTATGTATTCTTCCTGCATCATTGTGATATTTTGAAAAATGTGATCATTAAAGTTGAGTTTCAGTAACTCAAAGGTGAGTTGTAAAGTTTTTTTAAATATTTTCACAAAGCAACCATGCTGGCAGATATGGTAATTTTAATTACTGATTTACAATTCCCAGGAGTTCAGACGAGGACCTAAAATGTTCTCTCCATCACTTGATTTGGTTTGTGGCGCCTCTGGAACAGAGTATAAAAGAGTGTCATCCAAACTTGAGCACTGAATGCTGTCATCATATAAAATCATTTGTACCGGTCGGTTAGACCAATGAACATGCTGCGTAGATCTCCAACTCTCAGAAACAGGTGACCTACTTTCCTCAAGNTGGCTGAAATGGCCCTGCATGACCACCGAATGTATTTAGTTATTTCATTGACCACATATAACTGGGGTGAAAAACCAGCAAACCATTCACTGCCACCTGAGGGAAAACAGTAAAGAACCATGGCCTTTAAGTTTTTGTGTTTGCAAGGTGGTCTGAAATAGTACACAGTGGGTTTATAACTCTTGATTATCATCTTGAGACTGAAGAAAAGAATAATGAAAACTAATTTTAATGCACCCTTGCAGATCCACAAATGTATTTATAAATTACCCAGTAACTTTGTGTAATAGCATGTCCAAAAATGTTCTTTTTTAGCATTTAGAAAAGAGCAAAATGCCAACTGGGGATCAGCATCTACTGCAAATCAGTATTTTGATATAAGGCCATAGTTATACTTTTATAAATAAACTAAAAAACAATATCCTCTTTTTTGACAATCAAACATTTCTGTTCTTTATTGTATACAGTTCAGTTCTGTGTCAGATTACATGTTGTTGGCCAGCTGTTACTTTACCAGAAGCCCCCTCAGAGTTCTGTTTTGTTGTTATAGTTACTAAATCATTAACTGTCATTTCCTCCTCTCTCCTCATTTAGAAATAATAATTCATCACCAATAACTTCAATGATGATGTCTAGATTTTTCTCTTCTTTAATTTGAATATTTTGCTCCCTTCATGCATCAACACACATGCTTTGCATAATCAAAGCAGATGTTTCTATACTTGAGAACATTGCACAACCCTAACTACAACATTAGGCAGTAGAGTAATGGGTTCTCGGGATTTACATCATTTTCACTGATTCAGCAACATGAATCGATTTGCTGTTTTATAGAAAAAAGCACCAGTTATAACTCAACGCCAGGCAATAACACATATAAGATCACAAATTGTAATGGGCAATAAAGCAATGAAAGTTAGCAATGGACAATAAAAATATCATAACGTTTTAAAGTGCTTTTTTTCTGCGGGAGGGTTAGCCCAGTAGGTGAAACACTAAGATTTCTTAGTAAGGCAGCAGGGTTAGCCCAATAGGTGAAACACTAAGATTTCTTAGTAAGGCAGCAGGGTTAGCCCAATAGGTGAATCACTAAGATTTCTTAGTAAGGCAGCAGGGTTAGCCCAATAGGTGAATCACTAAGATTTCTTAGTAAGGCAGCAGGGTTAGCCCAATAGGTGAATCACTAAGATTTCTTAGTAAGGCAGCAGGGTTAGCCCAATAGGTGAAACACTAAGATTTCTTAGTAAGGCAGCAGGGTTAGCCCAATAGGTGAATCACTAAGATTTCTTAGTAAGGCAGCAGGGTTAGCCCAATAGGTGAATCACTAAGATTTCGTAGTAATGCAGCAGGGTTAGCCCAATAGGTGAAACACTAAGATTTCTTAGTAAGGCAGCAGGGTTAGCCCAATAGGTGTCTTAGTAAGGCTCTATTTCCATAGATTTTAGATCGATCTATCCCCGCGGGGAGTCTCACTAGATTACTTTCAGATAATCCGATTTAAATGTCCGTCCCGCCGACTACAAGCTGTAAGGGGGTAATTAACTTTCGTGTCCGCCCGGCTGACAGCTATTTAGCGTGAACCCCAAGGGAGTTAGGTCGATCTAAAGTAGGTCGATTTAATCTATGGAAATGGGGTGTTAGATTTCTTAGTAATGCAGCAGGGTTAGCCCAATAGGTGAAACACTAAGATTTCTTAGTAAGGCAGCAGGGTTAGCCCAATAGGTGAAACACTAAGATTTCTTAGTAATGCAGCAGGGTTAGCCCAATAGGTGAAACACTAAGATTTCTCAGAAATGCACACGCCCCTATAAACAAACAAATAAAGTGCTGTGTGACAGTATTCTAAAGAGGTGGCAAAACAGTGTGAAAGAGTTGCTTCATGCTATGAAGTGCAGTGTTCAGCCAGATTAATAGCTGGAAAGAAATTGAATGTTTTTTCCTCTAGTTCCAGCTGTGCTTCAGTGCAATAAACTTTTTCTTAATTTTCATAAAAGAAATTTTTGAGTTATTTCAAAGATCTGATCAATTGGTCAATTGTTAAACTACACAACTGATTATTTCTAGATGCCTCTGGACAGATAAAGTTCTGGCACTACACATCTGGTTCTTGTATCCACACAATCCATGAGGTGAGACAGACGCTGACTTCCGCATTCACTCCTAGCACAGAAAAGTTTATCACAGCTGGTGCTGACTCTGAGATCCATGTCTATGACACTGAGAGCAAGAGGAAAGTTTTTACCTGTGAGCCAAGGTATGAGACTGTGGAGGTGGGGGAAAAATTGTGCAGGATAGATTTAAAAAAAAAAAAGAGATTGGTGCAGATACACGTCTATATTAATAACTGCTAGTTAGGCCATTTAGAGTTTTAATATTTAAAAAAAATTTGTAGGCTGCAAATGACAAATAATGTAAATTCTTCCCCATAGCTCCTGTATTGATAAAAGCAAATACATAATTTATCAAGCCGATAAGTGCAGACAAAAATTGAGGAAAAATAGATTCATTCATTATTTCTATATGTAGAATAACCAAAATAAGGACAGTCTTTTTTTCATAAAATTCATCTTCAGTGAAGTCTTTGCACATCAATATTTTGAAAAAAAAGTAGGAGGAGCAATTGGGCTATGAGCATAATCCAGCAATGTATTTTATTTGTCACCTTTCAGTGATAGTAGAGATTTGATGAATGGTCATCGGCTGAGGGTATTTGCCTTGAAATTCCATCCATATGAACCCAACATCTTCATATCAGGAGGGTGGGATGATACTGTACAGTTCTGGGATCTGAGACAGAAAGGGTCCACCAGGTGAGGAAATTGCATTTGAATTGTCACTCCTCAAGTCTCGATCAAAATCCATCATAATATTGTCAACCAGGGGATATTGTTAAAGCTATCAGATATGAAAATTTTGTTCTTTTTAATGTGAATCCTTACAGGGGAGTCTAGATAAGAAAAAACGTTTTTCAAAACAGCTCGAGTAACATGTTGTTCTTCAAACTTGTCACTACATAATATATTTCAGTGAAGCATATTTAAAAATTTTTAACGATAATCTATTCAATCATAACAGTTATGTTATTGTTGTTGAAGGTCACTGTTTGGTCCACACATATGTGGAGATGCCTTGGATATTGATCCAGTTCATAACCACATCCTCACAGGCTCTTGGAGAAAGGAGAACACACTGCAGGTACAAGATTATATTACATGTACCACTCCTATGGATATTGCATATGGTAGCCCAGATAATCCATAAATGAATAGAATAAAAGAGAGAGAGAGGGTTGGTATCATAAGATTTGCATGAACCTACATATCAGTACTGTTTACAAAGGATGTTAAATTCATGTCTCGGTGTCTGTTTCATTAGAGAAAACTAAAGGCATATTTTCAAATGTGAACTTCTGCTTTACTTGCAGATCTGGGACTTTAATAATGGAGCTAAGATCAAAGATGTTCCCATAGACCACATGCATTCAAGTCTGGTGAGTGAAACAGTATGGAAGTGGAATGGCACAGGCCTCAGATATCTGCACTGTAGTGCAAATGCAGAATGAATTTTTTATTTTTATTTATTATTTTTTTTTGTGTGTGTGTGTTTTAAGTCACGGTTTTCATTTATATTGGGTATTTTACTGAGACTGTAGAATAAATCTGCATCAAGTGAATGCAAAGGTTTTTCATGATGTTTTTTTATCATTAAACAGAAGTCAATTCAGTTGTCTAATTATGATGGTCAAGACTGAAGTTGTAATAGAAAAGTTCTGGTTTCCTTCCAGCTGTACTGTGCCCAGTGGCTGGGTAAAGACTACATGGTGTGTGGTGGATGTGACCACAACATGGCCATGGTCATTGACAGAGGCACACTGAATGTAAGTTTGGGTTTGTGAGTTACAGCATTTTAAAATTCAGACCAACTAAATCAAGATTCTACACATTGCCATGACCATTGACTATTAAATATGTATTATTATATGTTGAATGTAAATATGTAGATATTAATAAATGGAAATTATAAGCATCGCAGCTGTTGAAAACTTCACACATATTTGATGGGAATAAATTTAATTCAATTCAATATGATGATTTAACCAACTTCACACATATTTGATGGGAATAAATTTAATTCAATTCAATATGATGATTTAACCGGAGTAAAGTATAAAACTAACGTTACATAATGTTTGTAATACACAGGTAACTGGGCAGGTGTATGATCTCCCTCAAGGCGTTTACTGTGTGGACAGCACAAAAACAGGAGCCATCCATAAGCTGGCCATTGGATCTGAACACCAAGTACACATTGTCAAAAATGAAAAGAAGTGAGAGGAGACTTAGCACAATTTCTTCTATATGATGAATGAGAGACCTTTTTAAGAGGACCTACTGTAGTGAATATGGTAAATGTAACAGTGGCTCAAGATACTACTCAAATTATTGAGTTATGTATACACAATGTCTGCCCACCTCTGTTGTGCCAACAACCATCCAGGTATATTGATATACTTTGTACAATATATACATATCAACGTTTTATAGAGAGACAATCTAGTAAAAATGACAGGAAACTTTCCAAACCAGCAAAAAGAGGCAAAGAACTGCTCGCCACTTTATTTTATTCCATAATTACATATGGTTTAACATTTTTTAACATGAATACAGTGTCCAAAATTATTTTAAAAGAAAATACAATGTTATTTGTAAAAAAGATTTTTGAGATAGGTATTCCTGGAAGCAGCATGCACTATTCCGTCCAAATTAATGCAGTGTCTAAAAGTATTTTAAAACTAAATAGCATTTTATTTGTAAAAAAAAAAAAAAGATTTTTGAGATATGCATTCCTGAAAGCAGCATGCACATATTCCGTCCACATTATATATTGTTAGTGTGTTGTTATTGGCATTCTCTATAAGATAAAGTTCTTATTATTATGTAACAGGCATAACCATTCAGTATGCTGATGTATACTCAGAAGTGATACCGATGTCCTTTTCAAAATGTTGCTTATTAAGTTACAGTGGATTTGCTACTCTACAAAGTTCAGATAGAATGACTATAGTGTTTAGTATTATATAATGTGTATATTGTGTTTAAAGACATTGTATTGTATCTATTAGCATAGCAGAGCAAGATATATGTGTTTAGAAGTGCTTCCCTAATCTCATAACTTAAGAGGCAACAATACTGGTCTTTGTTAAGTGTGTACATTACATATTAAAATGGATAATTTTATTGTAAATGTCTGTGACTATTATTTGAGCTTCATTTGAAGTGTATGTATTCTTCCTGCATCATTGTGATATTTTGAAAAATGTGATCATTAAAGTTGAGTTTCAGTAACTCAAAGGTGAGTTGTAAAGTTTTTTTAAATATTTTCACAAAGCAACCATGCTGGCAGATATGGTAATTTTAATTACTGATTTACAATTCCCAGGAGTTCAGACTAGGACCTAAAATGTTTTCTCCATCACTTGATTTGGTTTGTGGCGCCTCTGGAACAGGGTATAAAAGAGTGTCATCCAAACTTGAGCACTGAATGCTGTCATCATATAAAATCATTTGTACCGGTCGGTTAGACCAATGAACATGCTGCGTAGATCTCGAACTCTCAGAAACAGGTGACCTACTTTCCTCAAGCTTCCTGTAGGAGAGGAGCTGCAAGGATCTGGCTAAAATGCATGCATTTTTCTTTTCTACTGAAGCACAGGGTGGGACATCTAACAGTAGGCTGGCTCTATATAGTTCTCCAGGACTAAAAAAACAAAAGTCGCTGTAAATGACGATGTAATATCAGAATGACACCCATTTCTATTGATGACTGTACTTATATATATCTGTGATAAATGCAAAAGGTCATCCAAAATTAGTTTTCAGATTGCATACTTCCAATTTGCTTGCACTTCAAGATTCATTTTATTCCTTGGATTTAATCATGTACTATTCTAAATTTGAGTGAAGTTAATCAAAGGTAAATTGGTCACCAGATACTTGAAAATGGTGCAGTTGTGTAAGTGAGATTAAAATGGTGTAGGATTTTTCACATGCAAACAATATCATAAGTATAAAAGATAGTCATGCTGTTTATAAAAAATAATTTATTGGGTACACTTGCTTAACATGCACATACCCAAAGACAACAAAATACTAGTGCAGTTAAAAACCTCATTGACTTTGATTTGAGTTTCATGCTGAATAAACAGAAAAAAAGGAGTTATTAAAATAGATAAAGTGTTCACTTTCAAAGGCTTAATTACATCATGGGATTGATAGGTTTACAAAAATAAAAAGTATACATAATATCTAACCAACCTACTAAACCAATATTTCTTCAAATAAACCAAATTACCTCCAAACTACCATTTAAATAAATGGCAACTTTGACATCTGATTTCTCATTTAGCACTCTACAAAATGCAAAAGAAATGCACAAGTTGGACTGTCCTTTCCACCTTCATTTCAACGGTTCATACTCAAACAACATGCAGCCCCAAAAGAGGGATGTGGTAAAAACAGACATGCATGGGCGCTCCAACTCGCGTATATATGATCCAACCTTTGTGCTAGAAACAAATGCATGCAGTTGTGAATCAACATTTTCACCTATCATAGTCTGAAAATGAGGAAGAATTTGCCGAGCTTTCCTCCAGCAGAGCATTTTCTTCTTCATCTCCATCACTGAGAAGAGCATCTCCCACCCCACTCATGGAGAAAACGTCCCTGGGGGACTGAAGAGATGACAGTGTTGACTCGGAGTCATCTGTCTCACTGGACGATGTCTCCTTGCTGCTGTTTAAAAGCATCATCATGGCAGTGTTCAGGCTATTATTACTAGTATCTAAGTTGTAGTGGTCTGAGGAGTCTATACTATCAACATCCCCTTGAAAACTTGTACTGTTCTCAGATTGCTCTGATATATCAGATTGCTCTAAACTGTCTGCAGAGTGGTTTACATTGCACCTACTTTCTGCTTTTGGTGTTTTAAACACTTCATAATCTGTTTCAGTGGCAGAAATTGTTTCGGAGCGGCAAGTTCTGAACGTCAGGTCTGTATCAGACAAGCTAGAAACTGTACTTTTATGTGATTCATTTGGTGGTTTGGCTCCAAGTGGAGCCCATTTCATTGGTGTGAAAAATACATCATCTTGATCTTGTTCGTTGGTAGGAACAGTAGCAATTGCATTCGCTGTACCATATGTTTCTTCAGCCTTTTCAGAAATCATTTCATCTTCTGGCAGTTCCTCTAGAGGACTGTCCATGTGAATCATTCCAGCACCTGCTCTGCCAGCCTCATGGCTAATACTGTTTGTGTTTTCAAACAAAGCGCTGTCATTGCTGTCTATTTCATCATTTACTACATTACTGCCACCTAGATTCTTCCTGTTGTTATCTTCACAAATATTGGCACTGTCATCTTCCTCAGTATCTGATTCGTTATTGGATGGTTCTTTTGTCTCAACAAGAGAGTCTAAGCTAGCAAACTTTTCCTCGTCATCTGCTAAGAACACATCACTCATTCTGCTGACAGAGGTGGCCAATGCAGCTAGTGTGCTGTCCACGTCAGAGTCAAGGGAGCTAAAATCTTCCTCTTGCATTGGAACAATTTCTTCATGCACTGTGTTATAAGGACTCCTCTGCAGAGAGGCATCCAGAGCAGCAAGTTTGGATTCAAGCAACTTTTCTATTTTCTCTAAACTTTTCTTTGTGGGTGGTTTCCAACCCATGCCTAATGCTTTCTTGTGTCTGGACTTTGTCTTTGATGGCGGTGCAGCAAACTCGCTGAACTGTATAGACCGCCTCATTTTTTTAAGACTTGTCATCAGTTCCACACCAGCTTTGTTTTTTAGTGGATTTTCAAAAATAGTTTCCCAAACTTTTGCTGGAGGCATGGAAAAATTCTTGTTCAAATAAATCTCTTCTACAGATGGTTCTGAACTTTTTCTCTTTCGTGTCTGTTTCCCTTTTGCCTCTTTTGGACATTTGCTTGACATTTGACTCTTAAGATTATTACTGTCCCATTCATCCAAAACATCCATGCTCTCTTTTTGTGGTAAGCTCTCCATATCTTGATCATCTGATGAGCAAATCTGGAGGAAAAAATATCAATTACATAATGATTGATAATGAAAATAACCTTTTCAAGTTTGAAAAGCAAAATGGCTCTTTTATACAGCAAGGTACAAAAACTCATAATTTTTCCTTTCATTTCATCCACTGTGAAATTACAATACCTTTTCTACCCTAATCTACCCAATTCATTTATAAATGATTACCTACATGAATATTTGTACTGTAAAATTACCTTCGAAGTTTCCTCAGCAGTGTCAAGGTCATCTTCATCCCACTCATCTTTTTTAGGAGTGCTACTCTGACGGAAAATCTCAATAGATTTTCTTTTCAGTCTCTTAGATTTTCTGCATGTTTCCATTTCCTCCTCAACTGAATCTATCATGTCAATGTCATTCAGTTCTTCTTCAACTGAATATGTTGGTTCCATCACATAAAAATCAGACGATCGTCTCTTGGATCGTCTACTTTCCTTCTTTGCCTTTTTCTCATATTTCTGATCTTCCTCCTCACAGAAGGGAAGTTCGAGATCGCTGAATTCATCTGGTAAAACCATGTCTTTGTTACTAGATAAATTAACAGTCTCCAATGCAGTTCCTAAGTCAGAGATGTTAAGTTCACTTGAAGGATGTGCAGCTGGAGCTGTCTCTCCATCACAATGCGAGTCCTGGTGGTCCTTCTCCACATTTTCTGATTCCCAATCATTCCTAAGTACAGGTTGTTCAATATCAATAGATTCTTGAATAGGGTTATTCTCAACGTCAGTTTTGTCAGTCTGGAGATGCAATAATTCACTGGAAAAAGAATCTGTCCTAGTTTCCAATTCTTCTTCACTTGGCCTACTGTCCAAATTTTTGCAAGATTTCTTTTTACCCCTGGCCTTTGGCCTCCTGCCACTTTTTCCACCATTTACTTTTCTCCCTCTAGACAATATTGGCTCTGTACACTGGTTGGTATCTGTATTTTCTGTATCTTCTCCATCATCATAAATGGACTGTAAAACACTAACTGTCTCTGATCTATCAGCCTGCTCAGATATTTCATTCTCCAGATCAGTAATTGGAGGATCCAGTGGTGCTGCTGCTCTGCTTCTTCTGTTAGTTGATCTTCTTCTCTGGACCTGAAATATACAATGAATTTTTTCACTTTTTATCTCTCTCCCTCTCTCTCTTTCTTATAATTTTTTTACTTCTATCCCAATCATACTGAACTCACCCCACTCTTTTTTTTAAATTCAATTTTGAAAATTCCTTTACAAATGAGTTAAAATGTACCTCCCAACGATTAAACATTTGGTAAACCAAACATATTTGGTCACATAAAAATTAATAAGCTTACTTATAGCATCATCACGGTAGTTAATTACCCCCTTACAGCTTTTAGTAGGCGGGACAGACATTTAAGCCGGCAAAGCTGACAGTAATCTAGTGAGACTCCCCATAGGGATAGATAGATCTAAAATCTGTGGGAATGGAGTCTTAGATAAACATACCTTTGCAGGGACTATAACAGCACTGTCATCATAATAAGTGCCTAACCCCACTCCAGGCGACTCTCCCCCAACATCAGTGGATTGCCTCTTTAGCAGGCGCAAGGACCTGCGCCGACCTTGCTGCTTAGAACTGGCATCCTTCTTTGCCTTGGGTGACTCAAATGTTGGGACTTCAAAGTCAGGCAGGTCAAGCTCCCAGGACTCCATTTTCTGAAAACAGAAACAATATATGGCATTCACAACTTATTTCACTGAGCTTACCAGTAACTCCTTAACTCATTTAATGCTTGGCATACAACATAAACAATATTTTTTGCTATTTGGAACTTAAAATAGATGCTGAATCTATTTGTTTATGGATTGTCAGGACATTTAATGCTTGCCATACTACAAAACAATATCATTTGCTTCTTGGGAATTCCAAATAAATGTGGCATCAATTTGTTTATAAACCATCTGGTCTTCCACTATTTTGCCACTCAAGATGAAATTGGCTCTTCTTGGCAATATGGTGGATGAAACAAACAAATGGTAACGTTACAGTGGTATAACTGCGTCACCTTTTTTCCCCAGTTAGATCAATTTTTCTTGTTCAATATCAGAAATTAAAGACTTAGTAAAGAACAACTTGTGATATCCTGACAGAAAATGAAATATAACATATATATGATTAGGTTGCTTTCAGAAATTTAGAACTTGAGAGGGCCATTAACAATTATCAAGCTTTAACTGTTGATATTCAACTTCAGCTAAAGAGAGAAATGTGTGTAAATATCAAATTGCCAAAAATTTTAACTGGTTAGACTATTTTAGACTTTTTCACTTTCATGGTTTCAGCCAAAGTAGTCTTGTTACATAATTTGTGAATTTTTCGTCTGGTGTTTATTGTCCATCAGAATTCTAAATAAATTCTAAAATCATTAACTTCAGTTAAGGCAGTTATGGTTATTCAAACCACAAAACACGAGACCGCAGGCAGTGTGCATAGTACTAATGTTCAAGAAACCACACACACTTCAAGTTAAAGCAAAATAAAATCTATCGAGAACTCATTTGATCATCATCGTAATCATACTGACTACTATAAAAATTGATGCTTTAGATTACTAGGGGAATATACATACCTGTCCTGGGGCTTCGACTATGTGAGATTCTTCAATGTTTGATATAATGCAGCATAAAACACATTCCCCTTCGGCCGGGCTCCGGAAATTTGAAAAAGTAAAATTTACTTGAATAACGTGCCGATAGAGGGCAAAATAGTCAAGATAAAACAATTCCGAATGGTAAGGTAAAAATTCTGACCTTTGATAAATTTGAATTACATAATAATACCAATTGATTAAAAATATAGATTTAAACCAAATGAACAATATTGTAATAAAAACATTCCAATGTGTGAAACAAAAGATACTCGTCTTGCTTGATATCTGATAGCAGTGCCGTCTATCCACTACTAATCACATTGAATTGTTTACGTGTGTGCACGAACATTTGATTTAGTAATAAATAGCATTATGGGTGATATAGTTGTTCTTAAGGAAAGTTATGGATCTAGCACCGCAAAGAAAGAATATATAGAGGCTGTTGATGGACGTCTCATCACGTGTGACCGGTCGGAGAGGTTCACATCGGTCTTCGATCTTTTTAGGGTAAATGTCAAAACGTTGCAAAAATTGAAATTTGACGGTAAAAAGCAAAAAAGTCTTTATTCCTTGAAAAAAAGTAACTAGATTTTAGTGTAAAAATGATATAATGTCACTGTACCTATGTAATCCGAAAATGCTCACACAGACTCAAAGTGACAATTAAGGGACGTCAAAGAAATTGCATTCATGCATATTTGCATAGCTTAATCAATGAGATGCAAATAATTTTATGTTGGGAATTTTAGACTGAAGCTTTTTTGTTTCATGTATTATTTCTTCAGTTTTATTTATTTTCTCATTTAAAAATTCAGGATATACTGTATATGTGTGTTTATAATAATCCATTAAAATTTAGTCACATATTTTTAAGTGATTTTATTTGTATTTTTCCTATGCTTTCAGTCTGTATTCTTGCCCCAGGGTTACCCTGACAGTGTCAGTGAGGATTACATGCAGTACCAGCTGTGGGATACTCTACAGGTGCTATATTAATTTATATCTTATTTATACCAACATTAAAGTTTAAACTTTTGCATTATATATATATATATATATTAGAGTATATTTTTGGATAATTTTCTTCTCAGGAATTTTAAAAAGGAAGAGTAGCTGTTGTTTATGGATCTGATTATTCAAATTTTAATTAAAACCTGTAAATAATAAATATTTGATACTTAAGGCATTTGCAAGTTCCATTACTGGAACCTTGGCAACCCAAGCTGTATTGAAAGGTGTTGGTGTTGGAGATGAGTCTGCAACACCATTGGCAGCTACCATAACATGGCTGTTGAAAGGTACATATGCATAAAATTGATTTATGCAGTAAATATTTTCACTATTATCAGCACCACATAAAACATGAAATGTAATGAATTTTGTTGCCACAAGTATTTTTAATTAAATCTGTTTGTTTGCTTTAATTTGATTAGTGTGTATGTGTGTATGTTATTTTAAGGTAGTTTATGTTTACATTCCAAAGGCATGTTACAGCCTTTGTACTAATAAATTGGCAACCTTGCTGAAAAATTGTGTTTTTAGCTAAGTAAAATCAGTCAAAATAATCTTGTTTATATATTTTCAGAGTGTTTCTGACCTTTGAATTACATAAAATGATGGTTTTTAGGTATTATCAGATACTTGTTGAAGATACCTATTTATTTATTTATATTTGATAATTTTAAAATGAAATGATATATAACTGATTTTAATTTTCTGAAAATGAATATATTGTTTTTCAGATGGTATGGGTATGCTTGGGAGGATTGGTTTTGCTTGGTTTCAAGGGTATGTAATTTATGGAATACTTAGTTGTGCTTGTCTCTTTAAGAATTGTTCAGAGGTAATACAGTTCTAGAGAAATGTTAATCAGATGATGCAGGTCTAATTGTAACAATTTGTATTTTCCAGAACCAGTTTAGATTGTGATGCCAAGAGATGGAGGTGAGCTTTTCATTCTACAGTCCTCAAACTTTATTCCTTGAACTACAGAGGGATATAACAAAGACTATTAAGTAGTTTTGATGTGAACCAAATGTCTCATGTTTAGTAAACCAATAAGTCATAAACATTTAAATATTTTTTCTTTATATGTTTTCATTTCAGGTTGTTTGCTGACATCTTGAATGATTGTGCAATATTTCTTGAGATTCTTGCTCCCCTTTTTCAAGGATATTTTACACTCATCGTCTGTATTGCTGGTGTAAGCAAGGTACATTTGATTATTATTTTTTCTTGAATATAAGCTTAATCCTGTTGTTTGTTTCTTAAAACTATTTGCCTATCCATCAGTGGTTACATGAGTATTTTTTTTTTGCTCTGAAATAGAAATGTAGAAAATGATATTCCTATACTGATTACATTTGCTACCTTTTTTTTTTTTTTTTTTTTTTTTACTTAAATTCAGTCCATAGTTGGAGTTGCTGGGGGAGCCACAAGGGCAGCACTAACCCAACACCAGGCTAGAAGAAATAACATGGCAGATGTCTCTGCCAAAGATGGGAGCCAGGTAAAGTTCAGGCATACTAGCTGGTAGTCTGTTTAATATTTATGTGATATAAATTGATGTCTGTTTTCATATCTCACTTCGGTATCCAAAAATAAGTACCTTACATTTTTTATTTGACAAAAAGAGACTTATTCTAAATTTGTGCAAATTATACAAAAATTAATGTATAAAAATTCCTTGACTTATATTAAAAGACATAAAAGTTTGGTGTTGCCTTATAGTTTTTGTCAATTATCCTAATACCTTTTTACGTTGTTCTTAAGTAGGAAACTTTGGTAAACCTGGCAGCTTTGATTTGTGGCTTGTTAATGATGCCAGTGGTATCTGGTCACCAAACGTAAGGACATTTTGTAAGCTAGGTAGATTCTACATTATTTCAGTCATTCAAATTTCACAAGATTCCTAATATTAAAGTCACTAGCTCAAATATTTTTCCCTGGTACTGATTGTTATACCCATGTTATATTTTTCCAAATGTTATGGTTTCTTAATTGTTGCTGAGTGGTACTCATTTCTAGTAAAAGAAAATATTCTTTCCACAAAGGGAGATACGTGATTTGCAAAAGACACTTTTATCACATGGGATTACTTTTATGTAACTGAAGTGCACAAGATGTCAAAGGTTGCTTCAGTTGTTTTTATGTTTACATCTTCCAGGTTGACATGGGTACTCTTTTTCCTGTTTACTATGCTGCACTTATTCTCCAACTTCATGGCTGTCAAAGCAGTGAAAATGGAGACCTTGAATCAAGCCAGGTTGCATATTCTTGTTCAGCATTATCTACAAGCTCAGACGACATTCCATGGTGCCATCAGTAGTGATATACTTCCTGTTAAGATAGTTAACATGCAAGAACCTGTTTTATGGAGTAAGTATATTTTTGCCTAGCTGTGATGTTCAGGAACAAAGGGTACCAAGCTGATTCCAATTTTTAGTGTTAAAAACAACTTGATGAAGCTTACAACCTATTTTATGACCTTTTCTTGATTTTAGGAACCAGAAGAAAATTAGAAATATTTCTAGGAACCTCATTTGCAGCTATGATGAAAAGGTACTGTAAGTTGTGTATCTCACTATAAATGATTATTTATTTCTCTATTTATTTATTTAATTTTGTTATTATTCTTCAGTATAAACTGTATAACAAAATAGCAGCATATATTTAGTGTTGAATATCAAAATGCAATAATTTCTATATTTCAGTCCCAGTGAATTCAGTAAACTAAAAAAGATTTATGCTGGTGATAGATATATACTTGATCTGGACCTTAGTACAGGTAGGAAAACTTTTTTTTGTAAATGAAGGACTAAAATTAGAATTGTATTCATTTAGGTTGTTTAATATTAACTTGATGTTAATTATCTATAAAGGAAAAAACTAAAAAGCAGATGACTTATAAACTTTTATCAGTGATTTGGCAAATTAATTACTCACCTCTCCTACATGTGAGTTTTAACATGAAATCATAACAGCCTTTTCTCGTTTTACAGGAAAAATATACATTCTTCTCCATGAAACACAAACAGTTGATTCCCAGATTAAGGCATGTTTCCATGCTGAACTTGTAAACTTTATTGTGGAAAAAATAGGAAAAAAGGTGAGAGCATTTTATAGGTAAGGATTGTTGAGTGGAAGCCATGTCACACTTCATGCATGGAGGCATTTTGTTCCAATCTGCTTACATCCAGGTCTCACAATATCCTTAAGGAAAACGCTTTGCATCCAATGTCTCTCTTTATTCAGTAGTAACTGGACTTAAGTGAATCACTGAAGAAACATTAGGAGGAGGTAAATGTGTGTTAAAATGAATGTTGTTAAAACATATAAATAAAAATCTTGATGGTTCACAGTTACACTAATTAAGGATTTTTTTTTTTCTTTTTTTTTGTGTGTGTGTTTCAGGAAAACATTAATGAAGATTTTCAAAATGTAGTTGCTATAGCAGAAAATGGTAGGTGATTGAAAATCAAACTTTAATATTTACATATTTATGTACTTGAGGAAGGAATGGATTCAGCCTCCCTATTTGTAACATAAATGCTTCACCTTGGGACTGGAAAATCTTATGAACTCCAAACACAAGACAGAACTGAGTCAAAAATGCCTTGCACTTAAATATAATTTTTTTTTCTTTTTTGTCTGTCCAGTTTTAAAACTTAATCTCATTACTGTTCTTTGTATTCTATCTGCCAAATTGGTATAGGTATTAGATGTTATGGATTACATTCATTGATTGCTACATAACAATTGAATTAAATATTTGAAATGTTTATTTATTATAATTTTTTGAGGCTCATCATTTTAAATGAATCGGCTCTTTTTCGTAATAGGAAATTGTGCAGAAGTGGTAGAGGAATCATGTAGACTAGTATCAAGACTCTACCCCGTGTTCATGGCCGAGTTGCCAAGGGAAGGTTGGTTAACATCCTATGCATTGTTAGGAGCAGATGAATGGAGAGCAAAATGGCTGGACACAGAGCTTCTGGGAAAGAAGTTGTACTGAACATGATGTCAAAAATCCTCGTAATCTTTTGATTGAATTGACCACATTTATTTGCATTTTTTCACACTTTCTTCGATTGAAATGCGACTGTTGGTTTCACTTAGTTAAGAGTACAGTTGTGTCACTGTTAGGTCTCCTCATTTACATCTCTTTCTTTGATAAAAGGTTACAACTTAAAAGTTTGAAACAAGGTAACAGTAATAAGTTGAACTATACATTACTTTATTTAACTAATATGAACAATGCATTGTGGTTAAAAAACCAACCGTATATATGTATATTTTGATATAACTAGTTTAGAGAAAGAACTTAATTTTTATATAAAAATAGTATGTGCTTCAAAAATATAATATGAAAAATTTAACAGATAAAATATTAAAGAAAATTTATTAAGTTTTCTTTGAAAGTATTCAGAATAAACTCAAAGCTAGGAGGTAATTAACTTTCATTTAATAAACTAGCTTCTTGCAGGGGCATGCCAGACAATTAATCTTATTACATTGAATGCACCTTAGTGAGAATCCCTGCAAAGATAGATCGTTCCTGCTGGTACGATAACTTTATTCTGAACACCCCCCTTTGTTCCCTACAAGCTTAAGAGTTGATTTCTTTTCTCTGACTGTGGTAAGAACAGTAGATCTGCCAGTGTGTTAAAAAAACATCATTATAATATTGCTATTTTCAGTATATAAATATAAATAGTGACATCCATAACTTTTTTCTGGTGATTATGATGAAAATATTTGTTTAATTTTGTTTTTTTCAATAAAGGCAGGTGAAAGTACCTGTGTAAATGCTATTTAGTACATGTGTAGACATGTAAATGCAAAAAGGTAAAATGCTATGATATATTTTTGGAACTAACAGGCAGAAATGACTCAATATTTTCAATGGGGAAAATTGTGAATTGTAAAGATACTATTTTTTAAGTCAATAATTCTTAAAACACAACATTCCTATTTAGAGGTTGCAACAAAATTAAATGGCAGGCTACTCTGTAGTTCCATTCTATAAGTAAAAGCACAACAAATGCTACTAAAAACATATTTTCAATGATTCCAAATTCATGTATCTGAAAGTTAGATAATTTTTCCCAGAGAAAAGATCAAGTCATTACCGTATAAACTAATTGAATTTGTTTACTCCGTAATATACGCATGATTAATAAATGAATATGTTCATATACCATGTAACAATTTTTTGTAACTAATTTATCTTGAATAGCAATAACTGTTCAATCTCTTCCTTTACAAATTCTTCCTGATTATCATCAGATTGAAACATGTTCATTCATTTACAAGTAAGTGAAGTCGTCATGACTATTGACCATATAGCGTGTTTCATTGGTAGATGTATGGTTTTCAGTAATCCTACCATTGCGAGGGACGCTACGTCTCGCCTTCTTCTGAGAATATCGAATGTACTTGGATAGCCCTCTTTCAAATGCTCGACCAAAGATATCCCTGAATTTAAAAAGATTAAGGCAGTGTTCATGAACCAATGTTATATTTTTTATGTGCTTGGACGAAGTGCATTTCTGACAAATATTTAATATGCATTTTCATTGATTTTTCTTGTGCAGTAATGATGTAACTGCTGTAATTATATTTGTGTCATCTCCATTAATATTTACTACTTTGCTCTGGAGAAAGTAATTTTAAATTGAAAGATATACCTTTTATTTCCAAAACGTTGGCCATTAGATCTTGATTGGTATCTTGTTGGGCGGTTACGACTGATTCCTCTCTGTGGAATCTGGGGAGGCATCATATTCTTCACATTGTCCAGGAACCTCAACTGTGGAACAACCCTGTGTTTAAAGCTAGTTTGCTGCTGACCAACTTCATCCCAGTCACGTCTTGGGAGACGACGTCTACGAACGTCCCTTTTTTCCGTCTGACCTCTGTTTCTGCGTTCTGTCATGCCCCTCTTCAAGGAACGTAGCAGATCTGGACCTTTAGGAATTTCTTCATAAATGGATTCCTCTGGTAAATCTTCATATGTATTGTGAAAAGCATGGCCCCTTGTACAGTACGTGCTGTCATCATCTTCATCGCTCCAGTCGTAGTCTGGCTCTGGTTCTTCCAACAGCTGCTCTCTTACCAACTGTCTTGTGAAGCTTAAAACCTGAGGCAAGTCCTCTTCATCAAATTCACTCTTATCGATGTCCTCTATGTCCATCCTACGAAATGATTTCAAAGAAAGGGATGTGAAGGACATAAGATGCACAAAGGTACCCCAGCGGTGGACAAACATTCCAAATACTTGGAACAACAGAATAACTGCAAATGTGATCAAGAAAACAAAACTGACAATTTCTACATTGATATTGTTGCCAGTTGTGTCAGCGCCCAATCTGAAGCTCAGCAGCTGCTTTGTACGTTGATCTTGCAGAGCCATGTTCAATACCATCCAAATGGCGTTGATCATCCAAAAAGCGAAGTTCACATCATTTCTTAATGATTTCAGTTCAGCTGCAATTCTCTTCTGTTCTTCTGGGTCATTTTCAAGAGGATAGAGATACTTCTCAATGAAGTTTTTCCAAAAGGTGTTTTCCTGGTTTGTTATTTGTTTTTCTTTTCCTGACCCTAGCCATGGTTGCTTTGCCCAAAAATCACCATCTTCTTGTTTAGACTCCTGAGGTTCTGGTTGGCTTGGTTTTAACTCGGGCTTTTCAAACACTTTTTCAGGTATTGTGTCTGTGTTCATATTCTCAGGTGTGTCATAGTCTCCCAATTCAACATCATTCTTGGGTTTTTTGTCTTTGGCAATTAAATATTTTACCTTTTCATCCAAGTTTTCAAGCAGTTTGATAATCCTTTGTTGGGCATCACTGTTTTTCCCTCCAAACAACTCTTTCAGCTCTTGTAACCCACCACTTTTAAAAAGGGATAGAAGTCCCTTGGACTTTGGACTTTCCTTTTGTGCTGAAGCTTGTTTGGCAGGACCTTCCCTGGTACCCCAGCTGACCACATTAAGATTACATAAGGAGTAAATGACCAGGATCAAATAACCTGATGGAATGCAGAGAAAGTAGAGAACCCCGTGAATAAGACAGAAAAATTCCTTGGGATGGATCAGTCCAGAAACCAAGTAAACCCCACTGAGACCAATCAAAAAGACCACAGAAGGATTAAAGAACCCATCTGTCACAGCTGTCACCACTGTCCCTACTATGACTGCCATCATGAGAAGAGCATAGAGTGCACTAAGGATCCCTGCCACAAATAACTGGGTGGGAGGTTTGGCAACAAAGCAGATGATGAAGAAAATGATCAAGGGTCCAGATGCTATCAGGTTTGACAAATAAACATCGAGAAATGGGAACAAGGAACGGATAGAGCTTGCAATCATCAATGCCACTGTTGCAGGTCCCAGAACTGTTGTCACCATCAGGATGAACTGATATGCAATGTAGAGATAACTGATGTTGTTATTCCGGCGAACAGTATTTTTGTAGTCTTTCAATAGATCCAAGATATTTGCCATTGTGGATGGAAGCCAGCGCCTTCTTTGATTGAAGAATTCATTGAAAGTTTCAGGAGCATAAGTCAGAGCATCTGAAGCAGCCACGTAATCTACACGGTAGCCTCTCTGTAGCAGTAAGGTACACAACCAGCGATCCTCTCCTGTAGCAAGAAATTTTAAAATAGGATAAACATTGGACTTTTTTCAAATATCTTGGGTTACATACTTAAACATTTAGCAAGTTTTTCATCAGTTTTATACAGACCTTGGTCATACTGGACGTAATGCGATGCTTGCTCTGGCTTCTGAGTATATCGCTTCATGACATTGTCATCCATTAGTGCAGATCCCCTGAACAAACTGAAGCATCCAGGACTGCACAGTACACAGCCCAACACGTGCTCTGTAGCTTTCTGAAGCCAGTGGCCAATGGCATACTCAAACATTTGATACCACACCATAGGACCTGAAATATGCAAAAGAAAATTCAAAATATAAAACATCCCTAATATCTCAAGGTGCTCACATTTTTAGAGAAAGGCCACTTTACCCTGCATATTTGATATGCCTTAGTATTGAAACCGATTAATTTTAGCAATACTTACATAGTATTGTATTGATTGTCAAGAGTTGCTGTACTTATTCTGTTTAATAAAGCTATCTTCATAAGGTATCATGCAATTGTTTAAACTAGTCAGGTGGAGAGTGCTCTTCACAAAAGTAAAACCTACCGGTTCCAATAGGGTGAATGCGTCCACACACTGCACCAACCAAGGGGTTTTTCTTCATCTTATCCACCAACATACTTACTGCATCTGGTTTGAAGTCCACATCTCCATCTAAGGCCAGGAGGAATGTATTGTCAGCCTTAAATGTCGATTTAGAAAGAAATTATGTGCATGTAGCACAGTAAAGACCACCATAATTCAAGCCTATCATTACAAATATGCCTCCAGTCTTACTGGTACCTTCATCAAGAAGTGACAAGATAGAGGAAAAAATGAAGGTAAATTATAGATTTCACTTGTGTTGTTATTCAGATATGTACTTAAATGCACAATATCACACTTTATAATTTGACTCACTCCAAATTAATATAAAATGGAGTTTGGACTGTTACTTACAATTTCGTGGGAATTTCCCATTGAATTGTCCTGAAGGGTCTTAAAGCCCAAAAGGTAGTACATGTACATCACCTGGAAAGTAGTGTCATTGGTAAAGTTAATGTATAAGAAGGGCATAAAAATGAAAAGAATGATTTTATAGGTATCATTTTAATGTTTTTCATTACCTAACGTTATTTTAGTGAATGTATTTTGAATAAATTTTATCTGCCAATCGAACAGTTTTATTGATTCTAGCACCTAAGGATAATATTCCGTGTAGTATGCAATTGCTTTTCTATAACAAAGATAGCTGTACCTACATTATACATTTACAAGTTACAACTATAGTAGCACCTGTTTCAAGTATGCTCTGCCAGTCTTGCAGTAAAGAAAAAATCTTTCTTACAAGTAGTACATACTGTAATATTTTTAAAAAGTTCAATTTTTACCTGTGACCATCTCTTGCGATGCCTAATTTTATTTTTGTTTTTAAGGTGTGTGATCAGTTTAGTTCCTCCAGGGAGAGTCCACTCAAGGCGACCTCCGTATGGAGTGGTCCATTTGGTGGGTGGTTTGAAAGCTTTGCCATCTGCCGTGCATACCACATCACTGAAAATATACAACTTATAAGATAGCTATGTGAACTATTAAGAGTCATGCTCTTGAAACCTCTCTCTTTAAAACATTCTTGTATATACTTTGGTGCTCATATGTACTGGTAATTTGGAACTCTTGCTGTACTTTATTCTACAAATTCATTCTTTCCTGCAGTTTCACATGGTTCTTGAAATTACAGGAGTTTTAGAAAAATAAAATGTATGCCTAGTTCAGAATGCTCAAAAACGTCTAATTAAAATGCCCCATCTTATGATGTGAATTCTTCAGATTTCTGGAATGGTCAAAATAAAACCATCTCTGTACAGACTATAGGTGGCCAGTCATTTTGCTGTTAGATTTGTGAGTAAGGTAGTTTTTTTTCCTCTCCTCACTGGAAAAGCATACACAAGAGCATACAAACCATCTTTGCACTTTTTATTTGACTTTGAAATATTCATTTACCTCAAAACTTCATCCATCACTTCCACAAACTGTTGCACAAAGCTGTTCGGCACCCACTGGTTTTCTGCATTCTTCCCCATTGCATCATCAAATAAAATATGAGCTGGAAATGAATTTAAATTTTAATATTGTGCCTATTTATAATTTTAACAACATTTTTTCTACTATGTAATTATGTTATTTTTACCTGTCTCTACTGTTATACAGGTAAGCTTTATTTTAACTTACTTTCCAATTCATAGTAATCTGGATCTTTTATCTTGAAATGTTCTCTTTGTAATCTCCTCACATTTTGGTCCTCGTCCATTCTATGAAAGAAAAAAGACAATTGATGAGAAAATGCCCAGATAATATCATTTATTGCTACTTGTACTGTTAACTTAGCACCATCACAATAATCCAAAAATAGACTTTGTAAAGAGCTCGAGGTATCTAATGCATTAAACGTAACTTTCTTTCAAAAAAGGTTTGAATGTTTTTAACTTTTTAAATTAATTCTCAGGAGGTGGACCTACTTTAGAATGGACTTCATCAGTTGTGTCATCTCTACTCTTGTTTCGTGCCACATTGTAGCACAGGCATAAATCATTGGGACTGCACTGTCAGTAGAATCCTCTCCTTTCATACTTTTCAGCTCAGATGAGGTCATTGATGCCAAGAGGTAATCTCCACTCGGCACTTCTTTTTTGAAGTACTTTTCAAAGTCTTCTGCCTTCCATTTAAGGTACTTCTCCTTGTCATTGCTTCTCCGATTACACATGTTCCATATGTCAATGAGGGCACCACAGTAGAATGAGGAGACAAAAAGGCTAGAAAAGTACACATGAATATTTTCATTATCATTATATCAATTAAGAAAATATGCAGGACAGCAATTGTAATCAAGAAATCCACCAGCATTTAGGAGATTTAGATCAGATATACTCTTCAACATTTCTTTGACCTTGCATGTTAAAGGAGCAATTTTTTATTATTATTTCCAGAATGTATTCGCTTGAACAATTATAAGTTATACAAAACATGCAAAGGGACAAAGGAACAATCTTTTTCACATTTATTTGAAAAAAATGGGGAAAATTCAATACTTACTCTTCATTCCTGGCAAATCTATTGGACTGAGGAAACCAGATGTGTCTGGATATCCACATCATGGAGAACCACCAGATTGCTCCCAAAATAATGGTCAATGAAAACGACACAGAATCCTTCTGTCCGTGATGGAAGTCAAACACATATACCACATGGTTGTCTGCACCATCAGGTGCAGATAGGGAAGTAGGCAGGAAGTTGTAAGTTTCATTAACCAGAAGAATTGTAACTGCAATGGGAGAGAGCAGGAGCATTGGAAGAGAGAAGGCAATGAGCTGCATGCACAGCTTGCAGGCCTGGTGTGTTAAAAACACACAGATCAGCACACCAAGCACTTGTGCCAGAAATGGAGACAACTGGATGAAAACCTGGTCAACAGATATATTTGCATCACTGGTGTGGGTGATGTTGGTTGAATTGGGGTTGGTCCCCTGAATCAAGAGTGTGAATGCATCAATATCGAAGTTCAACTCATTGCCATTAATGACATTCAAGTAGTAGGCAAACAAGAATGTGCAACCGAATTTGAACAAGCTGGTCACACAGGTCAGCTTCTGCCTACCAGCATGCAATGCTATTCTTGTGTCGAAAAATCTACTGCCAGTGTAGTTCTCCCATAGAGGCACAGATGTCAGGATCAATCCAAGAGGAGCCTGCCAAACAAAATTGACAAGTGCTGTCTCAGAAAAATCTATGTCAAAGACTTTCATGAGGACCAACACAACTGGTGCAGAAAGTTGTGCAAGGCATGCCAGAAAGTCAAATACTTTGATCAAGGTGCATCGGATTCCTTTTTCTTGGTTGTTCCTTAAAGGACTAATCAACTTGAAGAATGCAGGAATGAGACCTGTAGCATTAACCAGCAGCAGGGCTTGTAACAGACTCAGGTATGGCAAAACACAGAATACCAACAGGACAAGCCCCAGTGTATGTAGACCTTCAGTGAACAAGACCTGAAAAAAAACAATAAAAACATGCTCTTTGGTGTGATATTATTATTATTCACAATAAAATCTATCAATTTTGTTATTTTTTCACTTTTGCAAAACAAAGTGCTTATCAACTTAAGTGTATTTAGTTTCATGCAGTAGAAAATGAGTTGACAGAATCTTTGTAGTTATACTTACTAAGATAAGGATTTTGTATGATGGCCACTGCTGACTTCCAAAGATGGTTTTGAAGAAAGAAACCAAAAAAATGATGAAGTATGGGAATGTGATACATAGAATTAGGAATGTGAAGATGGTGTCTTTCATCTCATGGAAACCCTCAGAGTTCTGAAAATAAGATAGAGGAAAATAGAAAATAAAGCGTAAGTTGCCCCTTGAAATGTTTTGTCAAAAGATTTTGTTTGATCAAATGTAAGTTTGAATAATTCAGAAGATATTGTCTATAACTTTATGACTAGTTTACCTTCATAATTCCTTCACAAGATCATAAGATTACAAGACATATACATTCATATGAATTGCTCCACCCTACCTCAAAACATGGGAAGAGGAGTGATTAAAAACTACTGCATATATTGATGAATGTATTGAGATAGCATAATACTAAATCTTACAGCCATGGTTCCATTATTTCTGGGGTCCTGTAAGAAGGGTCTCAGGTAGTACATGCCAGATGTCATCATCAGTAGGGAAATCTTGGCAACAAAAGCTGAACTCATCACCAAGAGGAACAGGACCAGATACAAACATATCTTCAAAACCTTCAGAGTGTTCTGATAGCAATGCCCCTCTCCCCAATCTTCCTGGTCGTTCACATTGAATCTGTCCCAACGTGCATCGCTAAAACACCAATGAGATAAATACATGTAGCAGTGGACCCAGAAGTTGGAAAATGTTCCAATATGGCACGATTTATGGTAAAATGTCAAAAATTTACACATTTTGAAAAAAACAATATTTGCCCCTGCTGGTTTTAATGGGAACTGGAATAAATATATCATGTATTTAAACATTAAAACAATTCACCACAGAAAAAAACATACACGTAATCAAAATCCTCAAAAACGGATTCCATGTCCTCCTCCTCATCAATCCTGATAATCGCGATTTCATCCTGCGTGTCGAGACGAGATAGTTTTCGTCCACCATTGAGGCGCTGATTAGACGAAGTAGAACTCGACCCTCCAGTAGACCCAGTGCCAGAGATGCTGCTGGACGTAGAAGTCTTGCTCTCTGATGCATTTGTTATTGGGGCTTTGGGGGTTATTTCATTTGAGTCATACGAAGCAGACCCGGTCTTTAACGGAGATCTTGCAGTCATTGGGATAGTTTCTCTTGTGTTTGAAGAATTCTGAAAAAAATAATGAGTCTGTTTCTGTTGAAAAACGACCATTTATTGGTCATATCAATATTACTATATGGTTAACACGTGGAAAATCCTTATTTAATTTATTCATTTTCAAAAAAAAACCATTGGGAAATAACAGTACCCATGCGATTACTATTTTCACACCTTTTAGTAGCAGGTATACTGAATACACAGGGGCCATTCCTTTCTTAATTGATATTTTGTAACTGGCATGATACCTTCGTGACTACCATTTTTGAGTTTATTAATCTTTGGGCCCATAATGCGGTTTTTGATGTTATTTTTGCTGTAAAACGAGGGAGGAAAAATAAATGCTCGATTTTTTTACCTCTTGTTCTGCAGAAATTAATTGAGAGGGATTCTCCGTATGTTTCTCCATATAACGTAATTCTTTCTCTCTTGCAATCTTCATTGCTTGACGCCTCTTTTCTTCAATGTTTTTAAGAATCTGAGGTCGATATCTCGATCTGGCCAAATGTCCTCGGGTGAACCGCTGTATTGTCACAGCAGCGTGGAGTTTCTGCAACTTCAATGCATCCAGCTTTTGAACTGCTTCCAACTTCAGGAATACCTACCAGGGTTAAAACAATTCTATGTTATCACATATTGAAAAAACGCGAAATAAAATGACTATTTCATTTGTTTTGTATGATTAACATTGATGTCAAATAAGCTAAACACATGCAATATACATTTATATACCTGGGTGCCTGATTTAACCATTTGTTACCAAATTTTAATTTGCCAGTACTCAGTACCTTTTGTTTTCCAACAGCGTACTGGTTGCCAAGTCCAAGTTTCCCAAGAATGAGAAGACACAAATCTCTCCCGGAAATCGGCCTACTGCACAACGCTTGATATCTAGTTAATAAAAGACAATACAAGCTATACAGTGCGTATTTAATCTTAGAAATATAATTGATTTTTTTTTTTTTTTTTTTTTTTTTGGTAATTACTTTAAATTTCTTTTTATCACCAAGGTATATTCTAAATCTAGGTATATACTAAATCTTAATCCGTTGAGAAAAAACGATATATAACAATCCATTAAGAAGTTCTAAATTTCTAATTTTATAGCCACCAGGGAAATTTACCAGTCCCTTCCGCTATTACAAAAGTGACTCATTCACTAGGAACTCAAGACTTCTGTATGGATCGTAATTTCAGATATGTGAACGGTTTCAGACGTAGTATACCTTGGTGAAAGACTGAAAAGTATTTTTAAGTTAAAAAAAAATTCAAAAAGAAATACTTTTCTTTGCTATATAAAGGTCTAGCGCTCACCGTGCGCATTTTATAAATCTGAAAAGTCAGTTGAATCCGCAGTGAATTGTTTAATGAAACAGACTTAACGAAAATGATTAAGTAACGATAAAGAATGCCGTTTTATATTTCTAATAAAAAATCCCTAACCTTGTGTTGAATTCCTCGATAGATATCCTGACGGGGAAACCCTGTTTTCTGATGCGCACCACCTCTGTAATCCCATTGCTGAGTAACTGGTGGCGGACTTTATCCGCTCTGAACGCGTCGGGAACCAAGTCGTCATTTGGTTTCAAACAGCTACAACAATTATTATCATCATTATTATTATTACTTACTTACTTACTTACTTAATCGTTAAATGATATTACTTTTATAAGTTTATATTAGACCTGATTGGGTTAAATTGATTTAGGTTGATTGGTTATTTGATTAGGGAATGTTTATAGGTTTTTTATTTAAGTTGCGGTGGGCACGAAAACTTTATTTGCTTTTTTAAAAGTATTATCGATAGTACACGGATTCTTACCGTATGAAATGAGTTTCTGATCTCGTCATCTTATCAACCAATTCTTTAAGTGAGTTCTGAAAGATTCAGTAATTATTCAGTAATTATTATATCGGGTGCTTAAAACCAAAATTGCTGGAATAAAAATTATCTGGATAAAAGAACTATTTTAAAAGCGCGTCTAAAATCGTTACAGTCAATTTTATCTCATGTGAGTAAGAAACGGTGCATTACTTGTGTGTAGCTTACCCTGAAAAAGGTGGTCAGTGAATTCTGAAGATTTGTCTTTCCGTTTGCTCTGAAATAATGATGAAAGTTGTAATCAAAATTGTGCATATGAAAAATAAACCTCCATTTAACTAGAATTCAAATAGCTGATGTATGCAGACCAAAGGTAATAAAATGCCGCGTTTCAGCGACCCAAATTTTCAATATATAAAGCTACAATATTATTAACCTACCCAGTGCCTTTTTTCGGCGTTGCTTTGTCTCTCTTGGTTGTCATTCCTCGGCGAATTTTGCTCTTCGTTCTGCAAAGATGTTAACAGAATAGGCTATACCAAATCCACTGAAAGCGGCCCTGGATTTTAAACTATGAGAACATCAAATTGGATTCAGATTCTATACTTCTGAACTCATTTTCATTTACCAAGAAGAATAATTAGTAAAAAGTAGATATTTGGGAGTTTCACCAATAACGGGGGCATGGAATTTGGAAATAAGTTTTGGATAGGATATACTTTGGCGATAAAGAAGGAAATTGCTGAAATTTCTGGATTTTTTTTACTTCATATTGTTTTATTTTTATTAAGGTCTAACGCGCGGCCTCACCGAGAAATCGTTCCCGTGGAGGACAGTTCCGCGGAGAAAAGGTCACTTATCAGTAAATTGTCGCTGTCCCTCATACAGTCAAGAATATCTGGGCTAAGATTGTCCCGGTTCTTCTCCACAAACCCTTGAGCCTCGTACACAACCTTGAAAAATAATTGAGTTAAAAAGATGTATGTCATCGCATACTATATGCGTTCTGTCCTTCATGACACTCTTATATAAAGTTTTTTCGGCAAATACGTTTATTTCACTTCTCGTCTGACTCTGTCCTGCAGTTCAGTATTACAACGATGGTAAGGATTAGTGGAAGATAACTAATTTCCAACTTAATGATATTAAAAAAAACCTTCACTTTGCAACATTTCTAACTCTCATTACAAATTACAGGTGATGACCAACCTTGCCGGCATAATGCTGAATGCCAAATAAAAGTTCAGCTTTGGATGAAACGTAATGTTTGTCATCTTTGAAATGGTCGTCTAGGTTTCGTACGTAGGTAACGTCTGATCCGACCGGTATAAGGCGACACTGTTCATCCAACAACGAGAAGACGTTGATAGGTTTCTGGAAAAAAGAAGGTACAAATTGGAGTGGTAGACTACTAAATCTCTGTGTTATCCCATTCTGTAAATTTTAATTTCCCGCCCCATCCAGAATCATCTCTCTCTCTCTCTCTCTCTCTCTCACACACACACACACACACGCACACACACACATATTTATGAAATTAATCGTCAGTCTACCTTATAGAAAAGTTCCAGAACGGCTTCATTGTTCTGGAAGTCGATGTGTTTCCATGCTATTCCTTCTCTCTCGTAATCCTCTTGCTCTTGAGAGAAAATGCATTCATTGAAAAAAGAATGAAGGCGTTCGTTTGCAACATTGATGCACAGTTGCTCGAAACTGTTCTGTTGAAGGTTTTCAAACCCAGAAATATCCAGAATGCCAATCACGTGTGGTATTTTGTCCCTATATCATAAAATAAAATGTTTTGAGAAAATGGAATGTGAAAATGTACACGTATTTCGACAACCATCCTGGATTAAAAAAGATACTTCATTTTAATGTACCTAGCTAAAAGGGCTATAAAACTGTATTAAAGATAATTATCACCAACTATGAAATACATTTAGTGCTTAGTTTGCTTGCAGATTTTAACCCTAATACATGTCGTGTTATACATGTTGCAACAGTTAACAACTTTTATCTGTTTATTTTTTCATAAATGAAAATATTTCAATATGAATCATTTTAAGAAATGGTTTATAAATGAGAATGATAATATTAAGAAATGGCTAGGTGTGTACGCACGTGTCGGCTACACTTTGAGGGCCCATGTTCTCGTTCACCCTTCTAACAACCCAGCCGAACAGTCTTTCATACAGCCATTTCGCCAAAGCGTCACGACAGTCGCTTGCCCAGGGTACGGTCCTTTTTCTGGTTGTTTTTTCTCCTAATTTTAAGTACAACCATAGTTATAAAGTAAGATAGTTGCTATTATTTAGTGTTTTAACTTAGAATTTCACCTTAACTAATTCACAAATGAAATTCATTAAGGAAGGAACAGAAAAGGGCGATTGTCTTTCGTGATCTTCAAAATGAATGTTAGTCTGTTAGCGCCAAGAGAAAATTGAAAGTTACTTTCACTGCCCAGATTTATACTTAGACAAAATTGTGCTTACCTTGAGCCCAAAACTCAAAGGAAGTAAATGCTGCCTTCATACTCTCTGGATCCGTGGAGAGCAGACGACATGCTAAATATGAAAAACAACACGATTTTACCTCTCAGCCTTTAAATTCTTTTGCACAATTACGAAACTTATCATCTACTGAGGTCTTCTCAATAGCTTATTAGGCCTACCTAGTCACATTTTATTTAAAATCTAAAGTAAAAATAAATAAAAATCTTACCGTGGTCTAGGGGCTCCATATCATCAATCTGTGCGGCAGAATTTTCTTCAGTTTTGTCCACTGGCACGAATTTGATGTTCGTTATGTGAAGAATTGCTGCCAGCATTTGGTAAATGTTGGTAACGTCCTGGAATATTATTTTATAAAGTAAACTTTAACCTTTTTCATGTACACTGTAGGCTAAACAATGTTCCAAGACTTTGAGATTAGAAACGGACTTGAGTTTTAGGAACATTTGAATATCAAGACATGGTCTCAAAAATAAACTTTTTGTTGTGTGAGAACGACTTGCCTCCGGTGTAAAGCCCTCCCAGCGAAGCTGGTCTTCCAGTTCTTTAAATCTTTGCTGGTAGATGTTGGGAAATTTCTTCATGTGCTCCAGACATCCTCTGTTGCCGTTGATGATTCTTCATCACAAAATGATAAATAAGTAAATAAATAAATAAATAAATAAATACATCAGTGATAATTGAAATTGCACTGAACTGATTTAAGAGGACAAATTGGGCAGAAATACAGCGTACTTGTGACGGTTTTATCTTTTTTATATTCTTCGTCTACAAAAATATTACAAACCACTGTCAATAAAATAAAAACTTATATGGTGCCTTCAATATTTATTGTTATTTAATCATTATGTAATGTCCTTTTAGACACACATAACTTATTACAAATTATCAGTCTTGCCATATGCTTGGTAACAAGTGTGTTTTGCATTGGAAACTAAAATAGCTCTGCCAGCCTCGAAAGAGGCTGTTGCCTTGTGAGATTTTGCTTCAGTGTCTTAGTTTTGGTCTACCCGGTTACATGTACGTGCTTCCTCCTAAAATTCGACTTACATTAGCTTCTTGGGGTACTACTATAATCTATTCTGATGATTTGTCTTACCCAGCAAGGCATTGCCTAGAGCATAATACTGATTCATTCAGTAAAATTGAAATCCGAACAAAGGCGTTGTAGTGCTTAATCACTGGCCAACCCGGCTTTACCCCCCACTTTTTGGTTGGTGACCCTATCTTGCTATTTTAAACCACGATTATATACATCTTGTGTGGAATTATTTTAATAGCCAAATACGGTGGTGACATAGGATCCTTGATTTTCACCCATATAGGACTGAAAAAAGGACTACTACTCTTTGCTGGATAGCTTTTGCCCTCAATCTTGCATAGGTAATTTGTCTGGCTTTCTAGACTCTGAGAATGGTCTCAATGTCCAGTGGTCCGTCTGGCGGACCAAAAACCACCTATTTACATTGATAAATAATCGGACGCGGTATGAATCCCAACTCAAATAAACACGAAATATTTCTTGCTATTTGAAAACATGAGACAAAATTACACAAGCTTTGTGCTTAAGCTTTCCGGGACACACGTTTACTGTTTACCTGAAAGTATTAAAAAAGTATAATAAACTCCGTTTTTTCAAATGCACATGGTAGTGTTGAATGTGACAAGATGTTATACTGGCATGTACTAGTATATGTATATGTGGCACTGCTGCATTTCAATTGCTTTTTATATGTCTGTTATCTGTTACCTTGTGCATGTAAAATTTATGCTGGAATCTCGCGTCATATCCTTTGAGCCTCGATTCCTACGTGATCTCAACGTCCTATATGCTTATAGTTAGGTATACATGTATGTTACATGTATGTCTTTAACATATGTTATTGGCAAAATTTTCTTTTTGTAATAATTTAAGTCTCACTCTTATAAGCCGGACATGTCTGTATGACATACCTTTCAAGCCACAGCCGGTTTTAGTGTCTACGTTCACCGAATACTTCCAAAGTAGGGCTACCCGTATGTGACCCTCAAAAATTTTTTTCGTGTAGAGAGTGGAGTGTTTTTTCGTTGTCATTTCAGTCGCAGAATCATATTCATAAACATTGCTGTTGTGAACATCCACGATATCAGGTGAGTTTTTAAATGTTATCCATATTTTACCTATTTTCAAGTATCGAAATTTTATTTCTATTTGATATATGTTGTCATATTACTTATCTATGATATATTTCATTTGCCTAATCCGTGTTACGTTAAAATTATACATCTAATTTCAAGAATTAAATTGATGTATTTTAAAGTTAAACCAAACATAGAGACTAACGCTTATTTAGAGGGAATTTTATCAGTGTATTATTTTGTAATGCGTCAACTCTTTCTCAGAGTAATTTTGATCGCGAATGGTTACAGGTTATCCTCTAAGTTATGTGCCCGCTTACATAGCGGTGATTTTTCGTTTAATAGATTCTCCTGTTCTCTTATGATCTCTTAAGTCTGGCATTGCTATTAAGAAAGAAAGCTTAATCCATCCTTTATAAGTAATACTTAAAATGTAATGCTACGTGAATTCAAAATCAACATGCGTGTGACAACGAGGTATTTCATGTATTAAGTTGATATCTGAATTCTGTTTAAGTACCACAAACTGCAGAATGAAGATGAAGTTAAACATGATGATCGTGGGCTGCTGTGTTGTCTCCATGACAACAAAAATGTAAGCACTTGTGGTCATGATCAAATCTCTCTCTCTCTCTCTCTCACTCTCGGTGTATTGCTTTTCGTCCTTCAGGGGTCTGTTTAAATCCGTTGAGATGTTTTTAATTTTTTTTTAATTAGGATGGATTTATGTTCAATGTGGGATGATTTTGAAATGCACAAACATGGTTTCCCGTTAAGAATACAAAAGATCGCTCTGATGGTATCTATCAGATTCATAAAATGCTACTATTTTGGTTCCTCATCAACGTCCAAGAACACAACAAAGCCATACTTGCAAATACCTTCAGAAAGGTTGAATTTCACATTGTTTTAGGGATTGTACCCCTGTTAATGGAGCAAACCCTCAGCTTACAGCAAGAGAGATTGGGAAATTGATCTGTGATGCCGTGGACACCAATAACGATGGCATCCTCACTAGACTGGAATGGGTTGGGATAGTGGCTAACATGGACTTTGACCGTAAGATTTAGCATGTCCTGTCTTTTCTTATAATACCCGAAAATTTAGCATTGCACAAGATGGTGACGTAAACTCACCCAATGTTGCATGGCCTAAAATAATAATTTTATGAATTGATTGCATGTGAAATTTGTGGTATTGGCCAATACCCATTATTCTTTGGGTTTTCAGACAATGATGAAGTCACGCACAGTGAGATACAGAGATATCTGGTCAAACTGGATAGCAGAATTCGCCCACTGTGGTCTCGTGCACTCTTTGAAGTGGGTGATTTTGATAAAGATGGAGTACTGACAGAAGATGATATGGCCAAATTTGGGAATCTAGATGCCAATGGTGAGTGTTTCCTATGTCTAACATGGTCCTGTTTCTCAAACAACTGAAGAAGAACGCACTCTTTGCCTAAAAAACCAATGCAGTATTTATGAGTAAGGATATCCTTTAAAAGACATTAAGCGTCGATAAAAAATAAAATGTTCCTAAGTGTTCGTTATGACAATGCTCGTAATGGGATCATCCGTAAGAAATCTGGCGACTTTGTGTAAAATATAGTGAAATTTCGTGGGTTTTGAAGGCGAGGGGGGCGGATCAGAAATAATGACAGCCTATAACTAATGGGAGTGGACAAAGAATAAGACCTGGCATAATTCATCCATGGGTATTTTTCTTCTGCTAAGTGAATTATATTGGTCTTTCGCACAACAGTGCGTACCTACCAAGTTTGCGTGTTACTGTCGTATTGCTTTCTAATACACCATTCCCGGTGCACAGCTTTCAACCTTAACCTTACCTCACATCATTAAACACACACATATATATATATATATATATATATATATATATATATATATATATATGCGTGTGTATACGACATGGAAAAGCGCATAAAATTACAGATGTCTATCTAATTCAGGAAATGGGCAAACAGACAAGGATGAATGTATTGAATTATGTGGAAAGGTATGGTTGATTTTATATACCATTATTACTATGAAAGCAACCGCTCTTTTTAACTGTTTGAATCAGTGCGGTTGGATATATCTACCTCTAGTAGTAAAAAGGATTTAATAACTGATTTTATGAAAAAGTAATACTTGAGAGGAAATTTAAAATAATTGTGTCTAAACAATCACCATTCAGAGTGTTTGAAACTGTTATAGTTCATAGAAACCAAAAGTCCCACTGTGATGTTACAAGCTTATAAATAAATGGGTTAATGAGCAGTATTTCAGAAAATTTCATTAATAATTGTGTTCTACAATATTGTTTTTATTTAAGCTTTTGAAAAAGTACGACCCCACGCTGGAGTAAACAGCTACATGTACCCACAACATTTGCCAGAAGTGGTAAGTGCTGAATATGTGACACCTGTATTTGGCATATGTATCGATATATAGATAACTGTTGAAATATTTACGTATGCAGTAGATTACGTAAAATATATAGTATTAGACTGAACTCCCAAAAGTAAACATACTGGTTTCATTTAATATTTTTTTCCTTTTCATTTCCAGTTTTTAAGAAGACATCGTGGCGAAAAAAATATAATTATGAATCATCAGTAATTTTGAGAATGTTTTGTTGAATACCAAAATTCACTAATTATTTCAAAATTAAAACTAGTGTGGTGGCTTAAAAGTCCTTGTTATTATATCCCTTTGAAAGAAATCTTTTAGTTAAACAGTATATCTCATAAGTAAAACGCATATGCTTGGCACCACGATATGACAGAATAATTTAGTTCCAGCAGAAAACAACATCTGTTAAAAGTAATTTCCACATTGTTATGTGTCCCATTAAATGTGAAATGTGAGGACACGTGGCTATGGAATTGTCATGATTTACGATGGATGTCGAGTTCTCATATGCGGTGCGAATTCTTTTCACGTCTTTATTTTTGCTACAAAACATAGTTTACGCGTTCTATATGGATCAGAAGTTTTTGGTGTCTCCATGGATACATTTCTCAGTCTTTTCCAAGAAAGACAAAGAGTGTCGTCATATGGCAAATAACAGGAAGTCATCAATCTGGACACTACGCAAACCACAAAATAGAAAAGTATCGTGAACAGTATTCAGTGTATTGACCAATACAAAGCTCTGGCTCGCACGATACAATTGGACTACACGGATTTTGATGCGTTCAGACACCACGGTACTGGACCAAAACAAAATAATCCTTGTAGAATCCACAGAAAGATCCATTCCTTTGATTATGCTTACCACGAAAAATCAGGTAAACTGAACGCAAGAACAGAAGGCAAAAATTGTAATAATACAAACAATGAGGAATACATGAATGGACGCTGGTTGAATATTCGAGGAGACTAGAAATGGGGAACTAGAAGCAGGCGCATTTTCCATTTTGTAAGTGAGACAGACCTTTGCAAATGTTATAATCGGAAAACCACTTTCAGAATCCTCGGAGATTCTCACCTCAGATATCTTAATAATTACTTGAATCAATTATTGTCGAAATTTGATCATATATCTCCGTTTACAGGACGCCCATGTATTACTCCTGGTATAATTTCAACCCACCCTGTGCCGGATGGGAAGGAGCTGATAGGTCTGAGCAATATTATATTTAAATGGGCTTCCTGGACTCCCGACTTGCTAAAAGCAATCCGTTCATTCTCGTCTAGATTTCACAAAATTTCTGCTACAAGCAATGATGTGGTTTTAATGGATTTGGGTATACATTACATAGAACTTGAAGGTGCCTACGTATTTGTAAAACATGATTTTGGTCGTTTTGTCGACCTCCTGGGCAGGGTGCGGAAAAATCCCAGCACCACAAATATATGTCTAATATATGCATGGATGAGATTGTGTTGACAAATTGACTTTTTGTGTCATATAAAGGGGATTTTCCAAGATAAGGTTGAAACTAAGTCGATAATATAATTTGCTATAACTCTATTATCCATATAGTGACACTGACGGTAGTACGTAAATATTGTAGTGAGTTCATGGAACCAATGTGTTTAGAATATATATATATATATATTTTTTGCAATGGAGTCGTCAATTTTGTTACACGTTAGCTAAGGCAACTAAGGCAACTTAGTCTACAAAAAAAGACTTTATCAAAGTGTACATGCTGGGTCTTGTTTAGATAAAAAAAAATATGCTACCTTTAGTTGCTACCTTTATAGGCCTATTCGAGAGTTCAACAGACTAACAATGTATCCAGTACATGTACGCCCAGCAGCTACATGTATCCCTACCGATAGTTTTCATAATTTCTTGTGTATGTTTTTGTAATTTAAACAGGTTTGTCTAGGATATGACATAAGCAAATTTCACTTTGAATCAAATTTGATCTCCCTGTTTCAAGTTGGACACTCTTGTCTGCCTTACATACGTATCATATATGTATACATGCATGATATGAAAAAATCTCTTTCGGTTACTTCTCAGATTATTTGGGAATATATTATTACCTGTAATCCTCAGGTGCCTTCAGGTCAAATAAACGCAGACGATCCTGCGGCATCCCGCCTAACACCGTGTAAAATATGTGGAAATTCTGCTCTCTGCCTCCCTGGCGAACAACGCGGGACTTCTCCAACAGGTAATCTGAAACTTTTCCTGAAATTGTGAGGAAAAATTGTAAAATAATTTTAGATCCAAGTTTCAGACGAGGAGAATGTCATAGAAAGTGCACATTTATTATCAGAAAAAGAGGAAGTTACCTCCAATGATGTGTCCCTCTTTGGTAAAGAACAACTCTACAAATTTGCCATATCTGCTTGAATTTTTGTTCATCACTGTTTCGGCGTTTCCAAATACCTCCAAGAGAGGGTTCACCTGTTGAGTAAGTGTATAAAGAAAGATTTCAACAAAAATTGAGTGAAATCATTATTGCAATTAAGTGACAGTTTGAAAACATAACAAGAAATTATGGAAGTAGACATTTTGGGTATATCAAAGCAGAGTAAACTCTCTCTCTCTCTCTCCTTATGGGGGTCGACACGTAACGAAAAGAAATGTAGAACAAACAGCATTCAGTCCTTAAAATATAAAACAGCCAGTGAAAAAAGAAAATGAATTATTTTTGCCTTATTCAGCTTCTCGCTCATGATCTTAACGTCAGCATTGCTGAGGCAGGTGATGTGTTTGACGAGGAGTTTTGTGGTCTCTGTCTTTCCAGACCCCGACTCTCCGCTCACAAAGACGCACTGTGGTCTAGCTCGACCAATCAGCTGACGGTAGGCGTGCTGGCCCACCCCGAAAACATGAGGCCGGGTAGAGGGGGGTTGACCGCCGGAAAACTCTTCGTGATCCTGAAAGATTAGCACCCAAGGGTAACGACTGATGGAATGCTTTTTTCTTTGTTAGTTTCTTGTAATGTAGGCCTACCTAAATTACACTTATAACATTAGACGTTCTTTGAATAAAATAACATGCGTTGATTTTTCTTTCAAGTCAATCATTTCTTTTTCTTCACATTCAGTTTAAAATGTGAATAGATGTATAAATGAAATGGGCGAGTTGTACCTTTTTTCCATAGATCTTTAAGTCTTTAAACGGATTGACTGCAACCAGAACATCTCCTATGTAAGTCTAAAAATGAAGAGAAACATATTGACAGTGGCACTTTCAAATATATTAACCTATATGTACACTACATGCAGAAAATTAAATAAAATCATCATAGAAAAAATTATGGTTATTAAAAACAAACATTAGATATGCTTGAAATATTCGTGAGATATTTAATTTTAATTGTCATTTTTTACGTAAAGCTATGGTAATGACTCACGTATATTTGATCTCGGTGTGTGTAGCGGCTGTGAAGGCATTCTAGGATAGTATCCTCTGTTACCTCCTCCAAGGTGGATAAATCATCCACGCCGATATCAGCCATCCTGACTGAGGTAGAAACTTCGAAATTGCTGTAAAAAATTAATTTTTATCATCCTTTTTTTTTTTTTTTTTTTCATCGAATATCGATTGAATTACATACAAAGAGATGAAGCCCTTAACATTTACTAGCTGAGTGTGTGTTTGAAAATTGACGTGTATGGAAACAGGATACTAAACAAAATGTATATTTTTAACTTGTATATTTTTATTGATCTTATTGATTTAGATTGACCCTAGTAAAGTTAGCATATCTAGCCAAAGAAAAAAAAATCCTCTGTTACTTGTCCATTGAAAAAAATCATAAAAAAATGACTATAGGTTTTCTTATACGAATTCAATACTGGTATTATATAAACATATTAAATAATTAGCGTAATAATGGCACAGCTAGATCAAAATTATTGTGTTTATTATGATGAATGACATATGTAAGCTAATAAGCGTATGCAACTTAAATGAATATGAATGGAAATGCTAATGATTCCTACATGGCACTGAGTAAACGTGAACGTATGAATATAAATGCTAATGTTTCCTTCTTGGCACTGAGTGAGGATTAAATTTCAATTTCGCAGGTATCCACCATAATTCCACGAAACGTCACTTAGTGCTACCAGGGGCGGACCCAGGATTATTTGAAGGGGGGGTCCGCAGCGGGCACCGAAAGTTTTGGTATTTTAGGGCGAACGGTGTCATTTCGTGCGGTTTAGAACAGTTAAAATTTTAATTTCAAGAGGGGACCATTGGTGTGACCATTTTTTTCAGAAATCGAAGGGGGAGAGGGTCAGGGCCCCCTGACAACCCCCTAAATCCGCCACTGCAATTGAGTGTTATGCTTCTGACACTTAAAATGTTTGGGCTGAGAAGGGTCGGTGACTTCCCTGTCGCATTCGATATAAAAAATCATACATCAAATTCCGTTCACAATGAGAAAGAAAAAACACATTGGTGTGTGTGAGTGAGCCAGGTAAGAGGGTCCCATTGGGGGGCATACATTATTGTTCACGGGAAATATTAACAAATTTAAAAAAAATAAAACTTGAAAATCACAATTCACAGAAATTAGCAATGACTACATGCAACAAAATTAAAATAGGCCTACGTATTTGATACGTGCACGTGCAGAAGTCCACTAGAGGAGTGTTGGGGTTACACAGAAATGAAAGGCTTTATATCTGAATTATTAACAGGATTTTTGTTAATTTTTATGCATCATTATTATCATTATTTGGAAATTTTCATTTTTCACGTATTCACATCAATGTGGGGTTTTGAACTTCCATCTGTTCCACGGGTCCGAAATTACATAATTGAAAATTGATGATTAAGCATTATGGAATATTGCAACAATATTGACGAAAACGCATTCTCTCTTCCGTTTCACGAGGCATCTGTATTGCAGTCATGTGACGGTAAAATATTTCTTGATAGAGTTTATATAGGGTGCCCACATTTACACAGACAGCAAGGTTATGATCGGGTGACTCTTCATCCACCCGATTCACAAGAAAAATGCCGTCACATAAATGTTTTCTCGACTTCAGTAATGGAGGGCAGTATTAGTGAAGTGATGATAAGCGCAAACCAAGTTGAGTTTTTGTGTGCTAGTACCACCCTAAACGCTTTTTATGTTGTCGAACATAGAACATGAAAGAAATACGAGTTGAAATCTGCGAATCACGGAGTATGAATACGTTTCAAGAATGACAAGTAACGAAAACCAGTATTCACCAGTCACGGGGATAGGATTCTTTACGCTAAATAAAATGCACGTTCAACGCATCTCGTGAAATAAAAAGTGGTTTTGATGAGTCACGCAAATACTCAAAGGGACCCTCACTAAGTGTACATAATTGAATAAATAAAACGCACTGTTATTTAAGGTTGGCACCAACGGTCGTCTAGGTGCTATTTTTCGACATCTCAAAAGTTCTTTTTTCATTTATATTGATTTAATGTTTAGCCAAACCCTGAAAACTTAAATGTGCTCCTTACTCAATTATAGCGCTACTTTTCGACAAATATTCTATGTTATGTAGGTAAATCTAGAAAAATTTAGAATTCCCCTTGATTTCTCAAATAAATAAGAAATACACTGGATATTTAAAAAAATGCATTTCTTAAGTAGTCAGTAGTCAGATATCTCAAAATTATGCACCCCCAAAAGGAAAATCGACCTTTTCCACTTGAATTGTCTTAATCAAGCTTTTAATAAACATACAGGCACTGATTCAAATATTCCCCTCCATTTAACAGTGGGTCCTAAAGTAAACATAACTGAACCAATATAACCTATTGTCATTTCAACGCAGGTGCGACAATCATACTGGTATAGCTGCTATTTTACATTACTTCCGTGTTCAGTTCTGCAGGTCAACTAGAAACCTTTTTCTTCAAGCCTTTCTGAGAATTCTCCTGTATTTTTCCGTCAGAGTTACAAATATGCTCAACAAAAAATCGAAGGGGTCATGTAAACCTTAAGATTCCAACTGGTGCAGTCACTTATGGCAGCGAGGCAAAAATATCAATCAAAGTTTATTTGTTAATTAATATTTATATATGCTAACCCTCTGATAATGTTTAAATAACCTTAATTGTGCAAAATATGGTAAGTAGTAGTTTGATATGTTGCATTTATCCCACGGAGTCATGAATTAAAAAAAAAAAAAAAAACATTCACATCACTATAGAGGCCACCTAGCTTTAGTTCAAGCTCTCAGAGTTTGCTGATGGTAACCAATTTATGCTGATAGTAACATCTATATAGGGCTATCAAAATTTATCCCAAACATCCTAGTGGATTATTGAACAGTAAAAAAGATACGTACAGTGGTAGACTTAGTCGATTTAAACCCTGTTGGCTAGAATTACGTAGTTACATTATAATTAGATGCAATTAAATTCAATGATGTAATTTAACATAAGAATCTCCTTTTTTAAATAAAACTGTTTTTGTTAATAACATCAGAGGCAGAACTTTTATACCCAGAATATCGATACACGTTTCCGCGTATATTCTTGTCAACCTTAGTGCCCACTTCTGACGGCGGTGTTTATAATGCACCAAAGGTGTGGGTAAACTATGAGCAATAGAAAAAAATCACAAACACAGTAAGAATCAGTTTAAGAAACAAAATGCGGCCTTGTTTGCGACTTGGGATTCATTACATGGCAACCTATTTAAGTTGACTTACAAGTTTGTGCGTTAATTCTTGCATGCGTATTTCAACTGTATATATGCAGCGCTTTTCACATTGATTTTGATAAAGGGTACAAAAACTTTTGTTCTAGAACATATGATTGCAATCAATACATGTATATGATGCCAATATTATGGTGTTGAAGCACTCAAAAAAAAGGAAAAGCACTCCGAAAATAAGGCAGTGCGACTTACCCTTGCTCTGTTTGATGCTCGTTCTGGCGACGATATAAAATTCTCAATTTCTTCGAATTGGTCTTAACCCAAACTATTGTGCGAACAAGGAAGGTATGCCATAGAAATCAATGTTATATAATTGACCCAGTGCTGGGTACGATAGTTTGATTATCGAATTTTTACTTATACTTCCTTGTTCGAGTAGGAAACCAATCCTGAAACTTTTTGTACTTATTGTTTCTGGATAACGATTAACAATACACTTTTTAGAAGTTTATTAATTTGTAGAAGCGAGGTGATGTATTGGTAACGCGGGCTGATGCACTAGCCTGAAGGTGTTCCTAATTGCCCGTTAATACCCTAAACCGTGCCTACTTTAAAAAAAATTCTTCTTATCCTTATGTAAGTCATGTATTACAAAACACACATTGCACTTTTCACGACTTTTGACGATGAAAAGGTTTGCGACCATGTTTTTTATTGTAATTTTTTTTACGTTGGTAACCAGCATTGCACTGTTGAACACATTTCTTCGACTTCGACAAATAACATATCTGGAACATTTTGATGAAATATGTAAAAAAAGGATTTTCAGTTGGAAGTAAAATACTTACCCTGGCCCCCGGATGCAAAGTGAAGGAATTTAGTCCCTAGGGTCTCACGAAATACCTGTAAACTTCGAACAATGCAGGCGTCTCAAAACGTGTAAAGAATAATATAGCTATTGGGTCCATTTTTCGGGAGAGACGAATGGAAAACTGGAGTACATTTTGTTTTCGTCGTCAGAGACAACAAATAAATGAATATATTGAGAAGACGTCTCAAATGGACGTTAATGTTCTGTTTTAAAGATACCACATGGTAAATCTTACAGTGGCGATGTCGGTACAATGTGCCTCAGCCTCTCCAATCCCCTGTCTCAAGACGGAGCAAGCTCTGTTGAAACTGCGCACTTGATTGAGCACAATGAAATGAATATTTTTTCTTAACTTTAACAAATAAGGCTTTTTGTGTGCGCATTGATTGTTTGCGTCATTGAGTTTTTGGTGTTGTTGCCTCGGGTTAAACGAAAAAGGTATTTTAATAAATGTGGGTACGTAATGGTATGTAAGACCCTTATTTTTCCATCTGACGCGGGCTCATCAGAAGTAAATTCCGTGTAATGAATTTCTTTGCTTTTTCTTTAAATTTCTTTAGTTCATATCTCGAATATAAATGCAAATATTAGACAGTCATCTTAAATGTTAACAAAGAGCACGAACACACCAAAGACAAAATCGTGAATTGTAGTAAATTATCAAAATAGTCTCCAAGGAAACGTACTCAAATATATTTTATTAAACCTTTGTGCTTGAGGTAAAATCCATTAAGTAGCATCGAGTGAAATATACCAAATTATAATAGCTACTTACTGAGAGTAAAAATCAAAATATGGATTCAAGTAACAAAGATTACAATAACATATATGGAATGTATCGAAAATGGTGGTAAATGAACAAGCAATGATATCAGACTGTCAGTTCTGATAATAAAACTATATCATTAACTAATATAACATTTAAAAGTTTCCACTTCAAGACAGTTCATATCTTTGTGTTACTGAAAAATTGATTGTATGCCCATGACATCTGGAGGACTCATATCAATACTTGCTTAAAATAACACTGGTTTTCTTTGGAACTGAGCAAAAATGTCGCATATGGTTTAAAACTTCTCTCAAATATCTGAATGAACTATTTAAGTACATACTGTATCAAAAAATACATGATGATAACATATTATTTATTTTTTGTCTGCCATTTTCTTTCCCCTGATCAAATCCGCTGCTTTCTCTCCTATCATGATGGTAGGGGCATTGGTATTTCCTGATACAACATGAGGCATGATAGAGGCATCAGCCACACGCAGTCCTGCTATACCCTTCACTCTGGAAAACAATAGCAACACACAGTTGAAATTTAAATACTTAACTTTTAAATAACTTTCTTTCATGTAATTTGACAATCTTTCTATTCTCAAAAAAGTGTGGTCTAGTAACCTCCCCCCATCTGAAGCATTTTGTGAGACACAGCCACAGACAATTCTAAGTAACTTGACTTGGTCTGTGAATTTAATTTGGTATCCTAATGGTCTAGAAAGTTTTAAATGAGAATAAACAAAATTCTGCTCAAATGCAGTAAATTGTGCAATTCCTCTGGTGATTGTTTTTCTCGCAAAGTTTTCATTACATTCTATATCAAAAAATAAATCAGACCTTTGAAATGTCAAAACTGTAAATTTTTATGCCACACGCTACTTGAGCTTTATAGTAATCTGCCATTAGTTGAGATGAACAGTGTATTACCTGAGCTGTGGGTCCACTACTGCCATGGCATCAGCAGGTGCCCCCATACGACATGTACTGGTAGGATGATACACAGTCAGAGTGATATGATGAATGTAACACGCCAGGTAGTCATCTGACAGTGGCTTATGGTGGCTACAGGAAGGAAGTACTCTGTCTGACAACTGGGCTCCTATCTTCTTAAATGCTGTTGTATTGCCTACTTTGATAGCCAGCTTCATTGCTGCAATGAGTAACAAAGATGCATTATATAGATATATGTCTTTAATATTAGACAGCAAACATGGCAAATATACAGACACCATACAGAAAGAAGTGTGACAATGTTTACCTAAAAAAAAAAGAAAAGAACAAATAAAAATAAATGTTTAAAAATCAATGACTTTTGGGAAGGATTACATCAGTAAATCTTTCAACCCTTTTTGTCTTACCTTCCACCATCACTTTAACATCATCAGGGTGTTCCAGATAGTGGGGGTCTATTTCTGGGTGTTCAAACGGGTCCGTGCTCTTCAAGCGTATGGTTCCCCTGCTCTTAGGGTGCAATAAAATGGGAAAGATAGAGAAGCCATGCATTCCAGCTCTGCCCCCATGTATAGCTTCAAATACCTGGCAAAAGCAATAAACCATGCATTATCATTGTGAAAAACTTAAAAAAAAAAAAAAACAATTGAATCAATGATATCAATGATATTGAATCAATATCATATCTCCTTTAAAACCATTCAAATTTCTAGTCTTTCACTTTAACCAATTTAACAATTTAATGTTTGAAATAACAAAAACTCCTTCATAATATCCTTAAAATGTTTCAAAAAGTTATTGTCACAATGTTATATTTTATAAAACATTAACACAAGTGTTATTAACCTGCTGTATAATCATTAATGTTTCATTAAGGGAAGATAGTGGAAAGAGCAGAGACCATGGTTACAACAAAATTACCATGTTAACAACACCCAACCAATTTTTACAATACACCAAATACCATACCTACAGTTAAAAATGCAACTTAAAAATCAAGCAAAATAAAGTCAATGGTGGATCTGTGGGTGGGTTTGGTGTGTGAGAGTGGGGGGCACAGGGTGCACCTGCTTAGTATGTTAGCTTGAGTGATACCCACTTCCTCCTTTTTACCCCTCCCCCACTGAAAAAGTGAAAATATTAACCAATTTTTTCCTAATTATTGACAAATGAAATAAAAATCTATTGGTTTTTCTTTTTTTTTTTTTTTGTTATATCCCCCTATTAACACAATCAAAGATCCACCAGTGATGGTGTGCACCAAAATCTTGCAAAATAAAGCACTGGTCACAAAATGTCCACACAACAACTACAAAAATCTTCCAAAATTTTAAATGGAAATTCACAGGGAGATTGATGAAAACCCAACCATTGCCAACTACGGATACTTTCTTTTTATAATAATAAAATAAAAAATAATGTTAATGATAAAAATCATTTGAAAATGTTCAACTGACTTTTTATATTTAAAGGGATAACAACTCTTCATATGAGATTCAAAATTCCATAATAAATTGTAAACAACACAAAGAAAACTAACATAATTATATAATATATAATATAAATTCCATTTTATCACTAAAACAGCGGTTATCACAATTATTTTGAAATCTGTGCTTGTCATCAGACCACATGGACACAGATGGCTATCCTCCATAATGATCCCTTGAGAGATTATTACAAAAAATATACTTAAAGAAAAAAGAAAAACAATTGACTAATTCTGAATGTTATTTACCATTGGTAAGTCACTTTTTCTGGCAAAATGAAGCATTGTTATCACTTTAATTGTATTTGAGTAAGAGTTGTTTTTGGTGGTAGGCTACATGATAATGGTAAAAACTAGTACCAATTGATAGCCATGTCATGTTAGTTTTTGTTGACAATAATGTTCTGAAATAAAATCAACTTATTTAAAAAATCCTGACATATATTACTATTTTACATAAAATATTAAATCGATGATTACAGTGTTCAAAATTTAATTTTTAAGCTATGATTCATTTCTTTCATGGAACATTTAAACTAAATCAAAGAAGTGTGAATAAAAGTAAATATGTTTTATCTGAAAATTTGGGATAAAGTAAACAATCGATTTTTAGATGATGTTCTACTTGAAATGGAGATCTAGAGAAAAAAATCAACATTTACCTGAAAATCTTTATTGCACCCACAATTTTTTATGAAAAAAAATTCACTGGTAATCTTTCATTTTTACAATAAATACCAACTTAATTTTACCTCATTTTGAAAATTTACATTAGCCGCATACTGTTTATATGGGTCATTTCCTGGATGAGATGCAAGAAGATGTAACTGCATTCCTGACATTGCATCAGGAACTTCTCTTACTGTGTCAAAAAAAGCACTTCCTTCCAGACCACAATTTGATGGTAAACCTGAATGTAAGAAAACTGCTTATATGGAAACCAAGCTTTTTTTTTATCACAATTTGGTTTTTCTGTCCTTTTTGCTTTTTGTCTGCCTGAGTGCTTTTGTGAGTGTGTGTTTGAGCCCCTTAAACAGTCCATTTATCAACTCTCTATTTTACAAGTGTTTTAATTAGGTTCATTATTATAATAACAAGGCTGTGGTTTAGATAATTTACATTTTCTTATGCTCATGTACAGGGCTCTCTTCCACAGAGTTTTTGAAGAAGCTTGTAGGAAAACATGAAACTCAAGGTATGTGAGAGACTGTCTGTGCATAAAACTCTCAGTTTGGCCTGAAAAATTTGAGGTTTGGAGTGAAAAAGAAACAAAGTTACAATTTTACTAGCAACAAGGAGACAAATAATCTTTCATAACAAGGCAGCAAAGCTGTCAAANTAATAACACTGGTTTTCTTTGGAACTGAGCAAAAATGTCGCATATGGTTTAAAACTTCTCTCAAATATCTGAATGAACTTTTTAAGTACATACTGTATCAAAAAATACATGATAATAACATATTATTTATTTTTTGTCTGCCATTTTCTTTCCCCTGATCAAGTCGGCTGCTTTCTCTCCTATCATGATGGTAGGGGCATTGGTATTTCCTGATACAACATGAGGCATGATAGAGGCATCAGCTACACGCAGGCCTGCTATACCCTTCACTCTGGAAAACAATAGCAACACACAGTTGAAATTTAAATACTTAACTTTTAAATACCTTTCTTTCATGTAATTTCATGTATTCTCAAAATAGTGTGGTCTAGTTACCTCCCCCAACCTGAAGCATTTTGTGAGACACAGCCACTAGTTTGACAGACAATTCTAAATAACTGGACGTGGTCTGTATATATTTTTTTTTTTGATGATAAAGTTTCTAAAGAGAATAAACACAATGTTGTGCTCAAAATTCATCAGAATGCAGGAAATTGCACCATTTTTGAAAAAAAAAAAAAGATTCCTTTGGTAATTGTTTTTCTAGCATGAAGTTTTCATTACCTTCATTACCTTGTACGAAAAAAAAAAAAAATTAATTAGACCTTTGAAATTTCAAAACTTTAATTTTTTATGCCACACGCTACTTGAGCTTATTAGTAATCTGCCATTAGTTGAGATGAACAGTGTATTACCTGAGCTGTGGGTCCACTACTGCCATGGCATCAGCAGGTGCCCCCATACGACATGTACTGGTAGGATGGTACACAGTCAGAGTGATATGATGAATGTAACATGCCAGGTAGTCATCTGACAGTGGCTTATGGTGGCTACAGGAAGGAAGTACTCTGTCTGACAACTGGGCTCCTATCTTCTTAAATGCTGTTGTATTGCCTACTTTGATAGCCAGCTTCATTGCTGCAATGAGTAACAAAGATAATAATGCATTATATAGATATATGTCTTTAATATTAGACAGCAAACATGGCAAATATACAGACACCATACAGAAAGAAGTGTGACAAAGTTTACCTAAAAAAAAAGAACAAACGAAAATAAATGTTTAAAAATCAATGACTTTTGGAAAGGATTATATCAGTAAATCTTTCATCCCTTTTTGTCTTACCTTCCACCATCACTTTAACATCATCAGGGTGTTCCAGATAGTGGGGGTCTATTTCTGGGTGTTCAAACGGGTCTGTGCTCTTCAAGCGTATGGTACCCCTGCTCTTAGGGTGCAATAAAATGGGAAAGATAGAGAAGCCATGCATTCCAGCTCTGCCTCCATGTATAGCTTCAAATACCTAGTGAAAGCAATAAACCATGCATTACCATTGTGAAAAATTAACAAACAAAATTGAACCAATCAATATCATATTTCCTTTAAAATCATTAAAATTTCTAGCCCTTAACTTTAACATTTGACCAATTTAACAATGTTTGAAATAACAGAAACTCCTTCATATTATCCTTAAAATATTTCAAAAAGTTATTGTCACAATGTTATATTTTATAAAACATTAACACAAGTGTTATTAACCTGCTGTATAATCATTAATGTTTCATTAACAGAAGATAGTGGAATGAGCAGAGACCATGGTTACAACAAAATTACCATGTTAACAACACCCAACCAATTTTACAATACACCAAATACCATACCTACAGTTAAAAATGCAACTTAAAATTCAAGCAAAATAAAGTCAATGGTGGATCTGTGGGTGGGTTTGGTGTGTGAGAGTGGGGGGTACAGGGTGCACCTGCTTAGTATATTAGCTTGAGTGATACCCACTTCTTCCTTTTTACCCCTCCCCCACTGAAAAAGTGAAAATATTAACCAATTTTTTCCTACTTATTGACAAATGAATTAAAAATCTATTTTTTCATGATATCCCCCTATTAACACAATCAAGGATCCACCAGTGATGGTGTGCACCAAAATCTTGCAAAATAAAGTGCTGGTCACAAAATGTCGACACAACAACTACAAAAATCTTCCAAAATTTTTAATGGAAATTCACAGGGAGATTGATGAAAACCCAACCATTGCCAACTATGGATACTTACTTTTTATAATAATAAAATAAAGAATAATGTTAACGATAAAAATCATGAAATTGTTCAACTGACTTTTTATATTTAAAGGGATAACAACTCTTTATATGAGACTCAAAATTCCATAATTAATAAATTGTAAACAACACAAAGAAAACTAACATAATTATATAATATATAAGATAAATTCCATTTTATCACTAAAACAGCAGTTATCACAATTATTTTGAAATCTGTGCTTGTCATCAGACCACATGGACACAGATGGCTACCCTCCGTAATGATCCCTTGAGAGAGTATTACAAAAAATATACTTAAAGAAAAAAGAAAAACAATTGACTACTTCTGAATGTCATTTACCATTGGTAAGTCACTTTTTCTGCCAAAATGAAGCATTGTTATCACTTTAAATGTATTTGAGTAAGAGTTGTTTTTGGTGGTAGGCTATATGATAATGGTGAAAACTAGTACCAATTGATAGCCATGTCATGTGCAGTGTTTGTTGACAATAATGTTCTGAAATAAAATTAACTTATCTAAAAAATCCTGACATATGTTATTATTTTACATAAAATATTAAACTAATGATTACAGTGTTCAAAATTTAATTTTTAAGCTAAGATTAATTATTTTTTTCATGGAACATTTAAATTAAATCTAAGAAGAGTGAATAAAAGTTAACGTTTTATCAGAAAATTTAGGATAAAGTTAACAATCGATTTTTAGATGATGTTCTACTTGAAATAGAGATCTAGAAAAAAAATTACCATTTACCTGAAAATCTTTATTGCACCCACAATTTTTATGAAAAAAAATATATTGGTAATCTTTCATTTTTACAATAAATACCAACTTAATTTTACCTCATTTTGAAAATTTACATTAGCCGCATGCTGGTTATATGGGTCATTTCCTGGATGAGATGCAAAAAAATGTAACTGCATTCCTGACATTGCATCAGAAAGTTCTCTTACTGTGTCAAAAAAAGCACTTCCTTCCAGACCAGTATTTGATGGTAAACCTGAATGCAAGAAAACTGCTTATATGGAAACCAAGCTTTTTTGATCACAACTTGTTTTTCTGTCCTTTTTGCTTTTTGTCTGCCTGCGTGCTTTTGTGAGTGTGTGTTTGAGCCCCTTAAACATCCCTTAATCAACTCCCTATTTTTCGAGTGTTTTAATTAGGTTCATTATTATAATAACAAGGCTGTGGTTTAGATAATTTACATTGCCTAATGCTCATGTACAGGACTCTCTTCAACTGAGTTTCTGAAGAAGCTTGTAGGAAAACATGAAACTCAAGGTGAGAGACTGTCTGTGCATAAAACTCTCAGTTTGGCCTGAAAAATTTGAGGTTTGGAGTGAAAAAGAAACAAAGTTGCAATTTTACTAGCAACAAGGAGACAAATAATGACATCTTTCATAAAAATGAGAACAAGTGCGACCTCATGTCACAACATGGGAGATGTTATCATTTGTCTAATTATCACTGTCCTTTACTCCTGCTAATTTTTTAACTTCAAGTTATAGAGATATCTACTTTGATTTGCATATAATGTAATGCATCAATAAGTGTACAAGATCATAAAATGTATGCACCAGTACAGGAATAAATCTAATCAAATTAACTTATTTGTAATCAGTGCAGGGCTCTCTTCCAAAAATAAACAAAATCAAACCAATCAACACCATATCTCCTTTAAAATCCTGGGCACATTCAAATTTCTAGCCAAATGTTATATCAATTTAACAATTAAATGTTTGAAATAACAAATACTCCATCATATAAGCCTTAAAATTTTCAAAAAAAAAAAAAAAAAAAAAAA